TTATATTGTAGTTCCAAATATCATTAATACTTTTCTCTCAGTGCAGTTATGGAGGAAACGTCCAAACATCTCGATGAATCTCGGCTGCGCACAGTTATTTTCGTGGCATCGTTCTGCGCTTAAAAATAAATGTGACTTCAGTCACGATATATATATATATATATATATATATCGTGACTGAAGTTACATTAATTTTTGAGCGCAGAACGGTATATATATATATATATATACATTGTAAATAATTATTTATCGACGCAGCCTCGCCACATCAGGTTTCCCAGGTTCGATTTGGAATGTTCCTTCTATTCCTCACCTTGTGTTGTGGCGTCTATTAATAAAATCGATAGTGTATACGTATCCGACGTCATTAAAAAATGAACTGTTTATCGAAATATATGAAAAATATTTTCGCAAAATACTTATTTATAGCGGAACATTATTTACCGGTAGCATGAAAGCAGCAGATCGACATCGATCAAGCGTAGAAGATGGAAAAAATGAAGCACTCCTCGCTTAATGCGAACGGCTGATTGTACCGGTAGGAATACAAACTTTAGAATATTGCATTAATAATACGCAATCAAGTGCTCAATTAGCTGTAATGACCCCACGTCCATTTTTCAGCAAAGTTATTCCCGATTCCCGAGTACCGCCGCTTTCAGAAACGCTTTCTCCTGCGGCAGCTGCGTTTCCCTCGCGGCGCTTCTTCGCCGCCCTCGTGCGAAACCCTCGCGCACCCTCGACGCTTACTGCAGGGAGACAGAAGAGCGAGCGAGGGGGCGAGTCTCGGGGGCGGCCCCCGTTGAAACGTAGCGTCGACCGAGTTGTGTATGGAACGACGGGTCGTCGCTGTCGTCGTCGTCGTCGTCGTCGTCGTCGTCGTCGTCGTCGTCGTCGTCGTGGTCGTCGTGGTCGTTACCTCTCGTCTGAATCATTAAGCAGCGGTAGCGTCGAGCGGTACACCTTCTAAATAACGTACACGCGTTCGCAGCGTCCGTCGGGGAAGAAGTTTTGTACAGCAGCCCCGTTCGCCGATCTCGCGCTTATAACAAAGACGGGAAACGAGACGAAGTACGAACGATATACGCTCTCGCGTATCGTCCATTTCGCAACTTTATTGAATCCTGTGCGTCACTTGGCAACATTGCGGATATTGGGAGCGAGAAGGGTCGACCGTCACTGAGTCGCCACGGCGTCCCGGTGCGACCGGAGCGGTTGACCTCTCCATCGAACTTTCGTCCCCAGGCAGGTCAAAAGTGAAATAAAACGTCACTCTCTCGCTCTCTTCCTCTGCCGCTGCATTGCCGCTTCACCGAAAGTTACATAACGTCCGCGCGTTTATCGCTGCGCCCGTCGCTCGCACGCGATCGAGCCGCAGCGAAAACGCAGCGCGAGCAGATCGCTCGGCGGACGCGCACGCTTCGGAGCAGCGGAATTCCCGCGGAGAATCGAGCGAAATCGCGACGTCGTTGCGACGTAACGCGATTACTCGCGAGTGGCGCGCGATATTTCAACGCCGCCGCCGCCGCCGCCGCTGCCGGCTGCAGTTGTTGTTTCAATCGCGGCGGCGGCGGCGGCGGCGACCGCACGCGCGAGCGTCCCCCGGCGAGGGCGAGTTGTTAACATGCGCCGGGGTCGATCTGATTAAAAGTCCACGGCGCTCATAATTCCCGACTATGCCGCTCTCGACGCGAGTCCAGAATGCCCTTTAAATTATGGAGCACGGGAAGCGTCGTACGTTACGATTGCGTGCTGCGGCCGCAACAAGCGCTCGCGCTCCCAGCAGGGTTGTTGCCGGCGAAGCGAGCCTCGCCTCCGTTCTCCGTTTCTCCGCGCGGACGGGAAACGATACCCGGCGGGCTAATTTCGGGATAAGCCGCGTTAATGCCGCGTACGGCCGTCACGCGGCCGACGCTGCCGGTGAATTCGGAATCCGGCCGCGCCGCGGCCGCCGGCGACAGCGCCGGCGACGACCGGCCTCCGATCGATGCTGTGTGTCGCTTGTTCGTTAGCGGCGCCATTCGCCGTCGCGAGTATCAACGATGTCGTCGAATCACGGGCTCGACGTGGCCCGGAGGAGCGCGAGCGCCGCTCGCACACACAATCGGCTGCGCCTCGCGCGCTCGCTTATCTCCGGCTCCCTCCAGCTGCCGGAGGAACTCACCGGCCGCGGCCGGAGGCGAAAACAATCCGGCGGACTCGGCGAAGCCGAAAAACGCGCGTGCGACAATCCAAGGTTGCACGTGCTGGCGTGTAACGTAAAATCGATACTCGCCGCGAAACGCGAACGAGCGTCAACGCGGCAAACGAGACGCGCCGTCGGACGGAAAGAGGGCGAGACAAATGGAGGCGAGCGGGGGGGAAAGTAAGGGTCGCGCCAGCGTGGCCATTGGAGTCCTCGGGCGAATTTGCGGGACAGCTTCTTCGCCGGCGAGGCCGCGCACACACACACACACACACACACACACACACACGTACCACATTGTGAAAAATTGAAAGATGCGACGGCTAAAGCGAGGAGGACGAGCCTCTTCCTCTCGAGGTCTGCCACAAGTGCGGCGGGAATATCGAGGCTGAATGCACGCCGATTAATTATACAGGTAGCTGACGTTAAACGACCATCGGCCAGAGCCATCGGCGCGGGGACAATGCGGTGCCGGCGTGAGATATCCGCGTGAGAAAAATTCAGCCGCAATTCTTAACCCCGTCGAGTCATTAATGGAAACGGGAATGGAGGCGGACACACACACACACACACACACACACTGTGCGCGCGCGCGCAAGGAGCGCTGTAGGAGCGATTCCTCGCGGCCGGCTCGCTCGCGCGGGCGCAGCTTTTATCGCCCCGTCGCGATTTTTCAACGGATAACGCGCGATAACGAGGCCCTAAATCAAACAGTCGCGTACTAATTCATCACGCACGCGCGCAAGGACGCGCGCCCGATCGTTCCTTATCGTTCCCTCCGCTGATCGCTCCTTATCGATACACAAACAAGCGATTTCTCGCGCCGCGGCTGCGCTGTGCAAACACGCGCCGGCAAACAGATCGTGATTTCCAGTCGGTTGGTTCTTTTCATCAAGTCGGCGGGAGAAGAGGGAAAAGAAGAAATCAGCCGTCGCGCAAGGCGCCTCTAGAGCTCCCGCCGGCTGAGAGACGACGACGAGCTCGCCGAGCGAGAGATCGAATCGTAAATCGCCTCAGCGCCAACCTAATTAATTAACCGTGTGCAAATTAATTAAGCTCGCTGTATCAAAACGTAACGAGGTGAAAGACTTGCCGCTGAGGGTGGCGGGGGCGCGGAAAGAGAGAGAAAGATCCGCAACGCGCGGCCGTTGGATGGAGGGCGCGGATGCGACGCCTTTTTCACGGCCGACGACTTTTCCGCGCCGCCGCGCGGATTTTTGCCGCGGTTGTCCGCTGCGGCACGCGCGCGGCTACCGTACAATCGTGCGAAACGGTGTCGCGAGGGTGTGCATTCCCGTAAGCCGTTGGATCTTGATAAACAGGCGGTGTAAGAGGCGTATGTACGAGGTGGGAAGATAAGCGCGACGAGAAAGGGCGGCGAGCCGGGATGAGCGAGGCGCGCCGCTCTCCCGTCGTCTCGTGCAAACAAGCGACGCGCTCGCGAATCGTACGTCGCTCGCCGCGAGTCTCGACGCGCTGCTCTGCGTCTGATAAGTTTCTCCTTACGCAAGTCGCTCGCAATAAAGCCTTATCTAACCGCATTTCCTAGAGCGCGTCGCTGCTGTCGTTGCGCGAAAACGCCGCCGCGATTAATTTTCGCCTACTCGCGCCGTTTGCGGCCTCGGCAGAGGGGCAAAGAGAGAGAGAGAGAGAGAGAGAGAGAGGAAACGAAAGAAGGCCTCCTTCTCTCTCTCTCTCTCTCTCTCGCTTTCTGCTGCATCGGCGACCGTGCGTCGCCACGGTAATGCGCGGTGATTGACGAGCGTCTCTCCATGTGCTTGCTCGCCAAACAAACCTAAATCGCGACGAGGTGAGCGAAATCGCGAGGCGGCCGCGCGCGCGCACCACCGACGCATCCATCGCGCGCCAAGGTTGAAGGTCAAGGTTGGAGCGATGCGTCTCTGGGAGCCGGCGACATGACGCGTCTTTTAGGCTTAAGGTCGACGCCAGGCAGGGCTTCGCGCGCGTCCGTGGACGTGGACGTGGACGTGGACGTTGACGCGGAGGCTTCTCGACGCACAATCGTGCGTCCGCCAAAGTGCGATGCCGAGTGGTCGCGCTAGGCCCAGCGCGGGATTTTTTCGCGGGACCGGCCGACCACCTCCGGCGGAGAGCCGTGCTTTATCGACGACCGAGCGAGCCCTCGTAACCGTCTTCGTAGCGGAAGCATCTCAGCCCCGCCGAGTCTCGTCTCCTCGTTCCGCGGAGGCTGCGCGGGCTCCCACGGCCCGCGGAGAGCGACGCCGCTCCGTTGCGAGAAAGGAAGGAAGTAAGGAAGGCGGGAAGAAAGACACACCGGAAGAAGAGAAGAGGAAATCGTCAAACACAGAGAACGGGGTGCGGTGGCGTAAATCCGACCGCAAACGAGCCGCGCGACAACCGCGTCCTGAAGCGAGACGAGTATTTCTGGCGGACGGGAAGTCGTCGAGGTGGCGAGCGAGCGATGCGTGGAGCATCGGCGTAGCGCGGCGTCGCGGCGCGGCACGAAACGCGCGAGCGACGCCGCCGCCGCCGCCGCCGCCGCCGCCGCCGCCGCCACCGTTGCCACCGCCCGCCGCCTCCGGCGCGGCGGTGCTATATCGGGGCGTCGCGACGCTTGCGCGGGTTTCATCGACGATCAGCTGGCTGGAAGCTTCCCTCTGTGCCGCCTGGTGGGAGCGAGAGGGAAATAACGCTGGGCTGGGAGGGCGAGAGGGGAGGCTAAAAGGAAGAGGAAGAGAGCGCTAGAGAGAGTCAGGGTGAGAGAGAGGGAGAGGGAGAGGGAGAGAGAGAGAGAGAGAGAGAGAGAGAGAGAGAGAGAGAGAGAGAGCGAGAGACGAAAAGAGCCAGTTAGCTAGAGAGATAGACAGGTCTAGAGCGCTCCTGTATTATCATCCATCCGCCGCCGTCGACGACGAGGGCAGTGTCGACGGCGCCTACGCACGTTTTTGGCAGCGCTTCCACGTTCCTCGGCGTCATCGCCGTCGACATCGACGTCGTCGTCGTCGTCGTCGTCGTCGTCGTCGTCGTCGTCGTCGTCGTCGTCGTCATCGTCGTCGCCGTCGCCACCTCCGACGAGAGCGCGTCAGTACGCGGCCCCGTGCAGTGCTGCCGTGTCGGTCGTTGGTTCGTTCGGTCGGTCGATAGAGGCTCGCCGGCGAAGGTGCGACGCTCGTCCACTTGGATGAGTCTTCTCCCTGTACTTTACAATGCGGTGCGCCCGTTATCGTCGCGCTCCTTCCTGTCCCTCCACCGTGTCGTCGTCGTTGTCGTCCTCGGGCCACCACGGTCGCGCGTCAGCCAGACTTCACTCTCATCGCCAGGCGACACTGTGAACACTTGAGAGAGTCGCGGTATTCGCGAGCGGTGCGTAAGACGAGCAGCGTCGTGCTCCCGTGCTCCTCCTCCTCCTCTTCGTCGTCGTCGTCGTCGTCGTCGTCGTCGTCGTCACTGCCGCCGCCGCCGCCGCCGCAGCCGTCTCCCTCTGTCTGCCTGCCTGCCTTCATCGTCGCTGAGGCGCGAGACACACAGCCGATCGTACACAACGAGGCACTGTCGAACGAAAGTCCGAACTGCCGTTCTCTCTCTCTCTCTCTCTCTCTCTCTCTCTCTCTCTCTCTCTCTCTCTCTCTCTCTCTCTTCGTGCGTGTCGTCGCTGGAACACGACTTCGCTGTGAGCGGAGCATCGCGAGGATACTCGAGCGCAGCCCGGTGTGACATTTCGGGGGTTGCGCGGCTCCAACGGCTGGAGTCCTCGTCCTTCGACCCACGCCAGTGGCCAGTCTCGGTGACGTCTGTTTGGCCGCACGGAGGAGCAATGATGGACCGCGCGAGCAGCTGGCTCAACGCGCCCGACCGAGTGTTATGAGTCATGTTTAATTATTGGTCTTGACGCTTCAGCGATTTACAGCCGCGATAGTTCTCGTGGCATTCGTTTCGGTCGAAGCCGGGCCGGGCCCGCCGTTCAATCGCCGACGGAGCGATTGGCGTCTGCGGACGGGAGAGGGAGGGAAGTGGTCTTCATGAAGCGTTCCTGGAAAGAAACCTCAGTCGCCAGTCTCGTCGCCGAGAGACGAAAAATAAACTGAGCCGCGACGCGAGCTCGACGGACTGCCGAGGCAGAGAGGATAGGGTTACCGCTACGGCGACCAGGAAACCCGTTCGCGAGGCAGAAACCGAAGCAGAAGAACAACAACAACAAGCAAGAGAGGAAAAGAGAACGAGAGAGAGAGAGAGAGAGAGAGAGAGAGAGGAAACTTGCGCAAGGACGGCGAGACGAGAGTTCATTGACACCAGCCGAAATCGCTGGCGAGTCGTCGTGCACGAGCGAGTAACGTGACCCAACCAGGAGAGAGCCACCACGCCGGGGGTGCGCGCGGGTCGAAGGGCGCCAGCGGTGAGTCCCCGTGTATGCGCGTATACATGGTGTACGTGTGTGTACGTGCACCCGGAGGGTAGCTCGTCGAGATAGTTCCTGCCCCCTCGCCCCGTGTGTAGCCACGATTAGGGGAGTCGATCGGGGAACTTCGCAGCGTGCGAGCGTGCTCGTCGTCGTGGAGGTTCCCTTCTGATGGTACAGCGAGCAGTGACTCACCGGCGACGGACGTGCGCGGACGACGGCGATCGTCCACGACAGAAGATCGTCGTCCACCACCGTCGCCACCGCCGTCGACGGCTCGTCGCCGCGGGCGCGCCATCGCCACGATGATCGTCCCCGTGGGCCTCCTCCTCCTGCTCGTCGGTGTCCTCTGCCAGCCGGCATACGGTCGCGCCGGTCTCGCGGCTCTCCGCGACGAGCTCGGCTCCGCGGAGCAGCTGCCGGTGGAGAAGCACGGGCCGCAGGTCGACGTCGGCGACTTCCCCAGCGACCCGCACAGCGCCTACCCCGGCATGGGTTTCGGGCCCATGGGACCGGTCCGCTCGGCTCTACCCAACGACGCCACCCTGCGCAGCATGTCCTCAGCCAGCGGCGACGACACCGCCGGCCACTCTAAGGGCTCGCAGCTCACAGCGCGTTCCGCCGACGACAACGTCGCCGTCGCCGCCGCCCGCCGCCGCCGCCGCCGCCATCGATGGTGAATCCTCCTCCTCCCCCTCCTCCTCCTCCTCCTCCTCTTCGTCCTCTGCCTCTTCGCACGACGAGAACTCGCCAAAGCCGGAGTACCACATCATCAGCGTCGAGTTCCCCCGCGTCGAGACGCCCTTCGTCATCGGGATATGGATCTTCTTCGCCAGCATCGCGAAGATCGGTAAGTAAAGCCCCCCGACGAGGGGGAGGGGAAGGTTCTTTGAAATTCGTATACGTGTGTACGTGTGTGGCCCTTTTTACCTGAGACATCGCTGAGACCTCTAGGGGGAGATGCACGATTATTGGAAACGCAAGCCGGCTGGAACCGCACGCGAGAGATTTTTCGCCGCGTGATAATTCGTCGCGAAGCCGTGAGACGTTTAACCCTCCGTTAGTCGCGATATTTTTCACCCATGAGTGCTCGCAGCATGCTTCACGGGCGCCCTGGTTTCCCCCCGCTTCTTGGAACGATTTTTTCCTCATCAGCACTCGGCCTGGTAGAGGCAGGCGTATATTGAAGTACGTAAAGAATTGAACGATTAGGGTGGATGAAAAACTTGCAGAATCCGCTGGATATCGCGAGGGTTGAGCGACGCGATGCACGAAGTGGAAGTGTGGATCCGTGAGATCTCGCGTTCTCATGGATCCGCACACGGTCCGAATCTCGGGAATAATCCTCCGTAAGAATAACCCGCGCGCGAACTTTCAAACCCGGAAGCACGAGGCGGGCGGGGGCGGGGGTGACTTTCAACACCTCGGCGTCTTGACTCCCCGCATATAAAATTAATTCGCCCTCGGCGCCGCTACCGCCGGTCGCCGGAGGACAATACGACGGCTGGCTTCGAGCGATAAATTCGACGGCCTAATTAGACGGCCCGCAAGTCGCGCTTGTAATTAACTTCCTCGCGTGACAATGCGCACACGGCGCGTGTAATTGGGAACACAATGCGTGCTACGTGCGGCCGATAATTTCGAACTTGACGGCCGTGCGGCACAATGCGCGATCGAAAAATTGTCGCGCTGCGAATCCACTTTGCGCCCATTGTCCCCGACCGACGTAAACATCTGCCGCGCTTTTATTAGCCGCCGCGCCGCGCGGCCGGGTCGTGTCAATTTGCCCGCTAATGACGCTTTTCGACGAATAACATTATCAGCGCAATTCCATATTTTTACGCTCGCTTACGCAATAAAGATACGCCGCGGCAGATGCGCCATCGGAAACAGCCGGCGCTGTGTCGTCATCGTCATTGTGCGAGAGACTCATCACGTTCCCTCTCTCCGCGCCGCGGTGACATTTCATTTTTTATAGTTTGCCGATGTAGCGCGCGCTCGCACAGAGGCTCGCGCACAGGCCGCATCAGCGAACAAAGGGTCTTTTGTCGCGCCGAAAATTCGACGGCGCGGACGGGCCGTTCGCGTTGCAACAATTTCACCCGCAACGTTTCACCCACCCCACGTCGCGGTTTTCTCCGCGGCGAATTTCTCGCGCCACGGCGCGAGCGGCGCGATTTCGCGATTCGCCGAGCGGACATTTCGGTCCTTGGAGAAGGACCGAAGAGATCCCATCCCACGCGCGATCGAGCGAGTTCGAGCATTTTATCTCGCTCGCATCGACCGATGCGAAAGAAAGTCGGTGATTCTTCTTTGCAATCTGCGCGTGACTTCAGCCGCTCGCTCGCGCGCACGCGCGCGCGCGCGCTTACGCAGCAGCCGAAGAAAAATAAACGAGGGCTCTTGTTATTTTTGTCGTTCGACGAAACAGCGCTAAAAGTCGCGCGCGCGAGAGAAAAACGCGCGGAGGCGAGATATTCGCGCGGCTGGAAAGCTGCCGCTGCTGCGTCGCTTCTCTCGCTCACCCGCCGGCGATCGGCCGGCTGTAAGCGCGTCTCATTAATTTGCGCGTAAAACGCAGCCGTGTAAAACAGGAAATCAAGCATACGGCCGATGAAACGAGCCAACGAGCATGTAATCGCATCTGCGCAAGCGTCTTCGGCAGCGAGACTTGAATCGAGCATCGAAGTAATCAGCGGCGTGTCGATGAGAGCTTCACGGCGCACTCGTGATCCAGTAGGAGAGTCAGCCTATCTCCTCGGTGCTTCTCGGGAGGCAACATTCTCGCAGCGGCCGCTCGCATCGGGTTCGCGAACTTCCACTTTCTGATCACAATTGCGTTGCGCCAGGTGAATTATCCGATATCGGAGCTGAGGTTCCGCTCTGTGCGAAACGCCGAAGGATAAAGCCGGCCAGCGCCGAGCACCCTCTCGCGCGAGCCCTTCTCGACCTCGACAATGGAAAAACCGCCAAGACAATGGAAACCCCGCCACTCCACTTCGACGACTCATTCATTGCGCTCAAATTACGCACGAGCAGCCGGTGCGGCGCGGCGCGGCGCGGGGAGGGCTTCCCCGCCGACGTTACGTCGAGCGGAGTGTCTGGCACGCGTCGATACGAACGCACTTCGCGAAAGAAGACGCGACACGCTACACCGCGACGAGCTGCTCTGCTGCGCTCGGCGGAATCCTCGCGGCATCGACGCGCTCCTCCGGCGTATTCGATTACCCGGCGTGACGTCATAATTCCGACGAATCGAGCGAAATGCTGCGCGCGATACAAAGTCAAGAGTCACGTCCCGTCTCTGATTAATTCGCCGTCCTCCCTCCCCCACCCCCCACCCTCTCCACCACCGGCTTCTCATTAGCTTCTTCTCACCCCGGTGAGTTCAGCTTTCGGTGACGACGATTAGCCAACTTGGAGGATTACCTCCTGCGCGTGGAAATTATTATTTCACCGTCGGGAATTTAACTGTCAGGCGAGTTCGCCCGGGTGTCAGTCGGACTGGATTTTAGCGCTAGAGTTTCTCTCTCCGAGCCGAGCGAGTTCCTGCGGTTGACATTTTTCATTGCGATCTGCAATGAAATCGACAGAGGTTCCGCGTTTAGCTTTCCGGCGCTCCCTCTCTGAGGGAGGTCCTTCGCAGGATACAGAGAGATATTTGCTTGATCCTTCCGTTTGTCGGGAGGATAATCCTATCTGAAAGAAAAAGATCGACCCCCCCCTCCCCCCCCCCGTCGCAATCGAGTTGCAAACAGCGTGTCCACGTCGGTGCACTGTTCACAACTCGATCGACGGATCAATCGACAGCGGCGACGAAGCTGCAAAGCTGAAAGCGATAAAGCTGTAAAGCGAGGCGAGAGGCGCGCAGCGTCCAGTCGATCGCGATCTCACGCGCCTCACCTGCTCCAGGCTTCCACATGACGCCGAAGCTCAACAAGATCTTCCCGGAATCCTGCCTGCTGATCGTCGTCGGCGTGGTCGTCGGCGTCCTGCTGTTCCAGGCGAGCAGCGTCCACGTGTCGCCGCTCACGCCGGACACGTTCTTCCTCTACATGCTGCCGCCCATTATCCTGGACGCCGGCTACTTCATGCCCAATCGGCTGTTCTTCGACCACCTCGGGACGATACTCCTGTTCGCCGTCCTTGGGACTATATTTAATACGATGTCGATAGGTGAGTACCGAGGCGACGACGGACGCGCCCGCGCCGCCATCGGCGGCGCGGCGAATTTCCCTCGAAACTTCCTTCTTTTCCTCCGCACCGCCGTCCACGTCTTTTCCTCCGTCCCGCCACCCCCGGCGATTTCGCGCGCGTAAAGACGCGTCGGCTTGCCAAAGAGAGAAAGAGAGCGTCCGTTCCCGGGAGGGAAGAGACTCTCTCGTCGATGCAGAGAGAGAGAGAGAGAGAGAGAGAGAGAACGAGCGTGTCGATCGGGTGTGATCTCGAGCGGAAAACGTCGCATCAACGTGGCCGCGTAGCTTGCGAAGTCACGCGCGTCGAGAGATCGCCCGCATCCTTCCTCTCGTATATCGGCAGGACGATGATGTGTCAGGAAGGAAATCGAGCGCCGTATCGTTAGCTGCGCTGCTGCGACACGAAGCGATGCGAGAACAGAGTCGGTCCTTAATCGCGATTTAACCGCAGCTCTTCCTCACGCTGCTCTTCCTCGTTTTATTGAAAAGTAATGGCACGTTACAAAGCGTTGTCGGCGAGGGAGGAGCAGGAACAGAAGGGTTTCTTTCTTCCCGAGACATTCGGAGCAATCGTCCTATATGCATCGTTAACATCTGTCGGGAAGTGAAAGCTTGTGAAATATCGAGTTTTCGAAATGGAGATGTTGGAACGCAGCCGCTTATTCTTTCCTCACGGACCTTCTATTCTTTACTCACGACCTCTAAAACTCGAACGGGCACTCGTCAGGGGAAAAATCGACTCGCGAATCGAACGTGCGATTTGTCGCAGATGTCCATAGAGAAATATTTGATGAATTTCTCAGGACTCCCCCTCCCCCCTCCGGGAGAGTCCCTCCGTGAAAAATGACCTTTACACGCGAAAGTGACCGGCCGAAATTTACGAAAATTTACGCGCGACGGTACTCGCGTGAACGAGCGCTTCCGAATTTCCTCGCCGCTGCTCGGTCTGGCTCGAGTGCAGATGTTTGTCTTGAAGACACAGACGGAGGATTCGCAGCCTGAGAGACGCGTGTACGAAAATAGCGCGCGCGTCGACGGAGCGCAACGCGTGCCGCAACTGTCAGCCGGACAATCGCCGTGGCGTCGACTCTGCCGCGCGCGCTTCCGAGGTGTCATCGCGATTCGAGAGAGACGAGAACCGCGTGGAAAATGCAACTGAAGAATTGCCACCCCGTGGGCAGAAAAGAGAGAAACTGCTGGTGGGGCGATGTCGGGCCACGCAAGTTGGCCGCAAGCGCCGGACGCGCGACTCTCCGATACGAACGTAGTCGATTAGTCGTATTTCTGGACGGTGACTTTTTATCGCGATGAACGCACAAAGCAGCGAGTCTAAGGTCGGTAGACCTTTGCGTAATGGATGTCATTCGCGCCGATTAGCATTCACCAGCTGCGACGCGACCGCGTAAAGGTCGCGGCCTCTGAGCAAAATCGCGTATCAATAATCGCGACGTGCTTCGTCGGCTGAATTTTCTGCCATTTCTCAAGCCCGAAATCTCGAAGATCTCTTTTCATAGCGGGACCTCCGAATGCGCCCGACAGACCGCCCTTTGGAGGACGAGGAGACGCGGCGTAACGCGCCGCGCTCCTCATTAATTCCAAGACAAGCGGAGGCGCGCCTCGCGCCTATCGTTCTCCCCGCGTCGGGGCCCGCGAATATTGGCGAGCAATGAGATCCGGATAATAATGACGACGCTCGAGGACGGCGCTCGGGCGGTTGAAGAGGCAGAAATGATCGCGATGACACAGTTATCGCGCGTTAATTACCTCATTATTCGCTGACGAGACACAATTATCGCGCGGCGTTTGTTTAACCGAATGAATATCGGTAAACTCGCGTCGCGCACCGGCGCGCCGCGTTGTTGGCCTTATCGCCTTCTCCGAGGCGACGTGTGTGATTTCCGAGCAGCGCGCACACGCGAAGCGCGACGATAACACACGTTGCGATCGATAACACACGGATCGAATTCGAAACAACGGCGCCGCCGAATGTTCGATGAATTCGTTCGGCGCTTCACCGTTCTACCGTTTCGCCCGCGTTTTGGGATCGCCAAGGCGCGACCAGGGCGGCTTCCAGCGGCGGGATCGAACCGAGAGTCGAGAGAAAGGCGTCGCGACCAAATTCCGCCAAATTCGACGGCACGACACGAATTGCTCCCGAGGGCAAAAGCGCGCGCGCGCGCGCGCGCGAATCTCGACGGACACGAATGTACCAAGTAGCGTGGGTGGCGAGTCGGCAGCCGATAATGCAAAATTTCTATCCTCGAGGCCGTTAATCTCGTCGTTTTCCCTCTTATCGCGACGGCGCGGCGCGTTCAATGACTTGGCACGATCGATCGGATAATAATAATCCCGGCGGATTGACGATTCGCCGCGGGCGTGTGCTTAAAGCGGATTAAACGATGCCCGGCGACGACGATAATTGGTGCGAAATTGCGTCACGCGAAAGAATTACGCCCTCCTCCCTCTTCCCCTTTCACGGGGGTTGACACTACAGTCGTGGACATTTCTTTTCTCTCTCTCTCTCTCTCCTCTCTCTCTCTCTCTCTCTCTCTATCGCTCCTCTCTCTCTCTCTCTCTCTCTCTCTCCAGGTGTATCGTTGTGGCTGTTGGGACAGAGCGGCTTGTTCGACTGCGAGACGCCCCTCCTCGACATGTTCTTATTCTCGGCGCTGATCAGCGCCGTCGACCCCGTCGCGGTGTTGGCTGTCTTCGAGGAGATCCACGTGAACGAGATACTCTACATCGTCGTGTTCGGCGAGAGCTTGCTGAACGACGCGGTCACTGTCGTGAGTATCGCGTCATTTGCGTTACATCGAACAGGAATCTATTTCCGGCCGCGTATCGCGCGAGCCAGCGAATATTCGGCCGCTCCGATATTTAGATAAACGCGGATTTAAGCCGCAATCGATCGCCGCGGTCGCTCCACTCGCGAGCCGGATGTGACCGAAAGAGAAAGAGAGAGAGAGAGAGAGAGGGAGAGAGAGAGAGAGAGAGAAGGAGAACGGGCAACCGCGAGATCCCGTTTCCGAATTAACGGACGTACGAGTGCGAGAGAGATGTAACGAATTCGAAAGCGACGAGAGCAGATCTCGGGCGCCACCGCGGAAGTAAATTCGCCGGACGAAAATAAATTGCGCGCGGGGATAAAAACGGGGAGGAAAATGTGCTGCGCGCGAAAGGGGACTACTTAGCCGGCGACTATTTTGATTGATGATCGCCGCGAAACGTCGCGAGCGGCGCGAATAATCGGCGATGTTGCGAGAAGAAGGCAGCGATAGATTAAATTTGCCCCGCTGCCTTCCGCGCGACCTCCCTCGCCGGGGATCGACCCTGAGGCTGACGTTGATTAATATTCCGCTAAAGCCTCGCATCAGAATGCATAATAAATAAATACGAGCGCGAAACGGCGAAGCTCGCGCTCGCTCGCGGAGAAACGCGCCGGCGGTTCCCCGGCGGCTTCGCCGGCCGGCGCCGGCGGGGGCCGCGATCGATGCGCGATATCGATCTCGCCGTTCCGTCGTTAAAGTCAGCGAGTCAAGTGTGGCCAACACTTTTTCGTCGTCGCGCCTGTGAGAATTAATAACACGGCCTTTTCGCGCCGACTCGCCGGGCCATATGTCGGCGCGCGCCGCGCCGACAGGATGAAACCGGCGTTTGAATAAAACAGTCGCGGTGTAACGCAAACACTCGTCCTGTAAATACGAATCTACGACGGCTTTATTAATGCATCAATCCGCCGACACACTCGGACGGTTATTAATACCTGCCGCTGTGTGTGCCGCACAGGTAACGGCGATCCGCGAGAAACGTTTCCTTGTCGACGAACCAAAAATAAAACAACCGCGCCAGCGGAGCATCCGTCGACCGCGACAATCTCGTCCATCTGTCGTCCTAATTTCCTCCTCCCCCCCCTCCCCCCAATTACCGGGGTCGACCATATTGTCGCAAATGGGCCGGTGCATCGCCGCACTTCGTATTTACAGTTTTAATCTATAGCACTCGCGGCCCGGTTAATTGGCCTTCCGACCGCGGCACTCTCTCTCTCTCTCTCTCTCTCTCTCTCTCTCGCGTGCGCGTCGAGAATTGGGTCGGGCCGGCTAAGAATGGCGAGGAAAGCTCGAGCGAAAGCTCCACTCGCTCGAATCGCCATTTCGCTCGTCGCTGCGAGGGCGAGGCTAGGCGAGGGCGAGGCGAGGAAGGGGCGAAGGCGAGGGAAAAAAGCGCCGGGGGTCGTATGCAGCCGTCAGCGGATAAAAAGGTCATCTAATGCGACACGCAGGTACTCTATCACATGTTCGAGGCGTACAGCGAGATGGGCCCGTCCAGGATCATCTACACGGACGTGTTGTCAGGCCTGGCCTCGTTCTTGGTGGTGGCGATCGGCGGCACGATCATAGGTATCATTTGGGGCTTCGCGACTGGCTTCGTCACCAGGTTCACCCATCAGGTGCGCGTGATCGAGCCGATCTTCATATTCGTGATGGCGTACTTGGCGTACCTCAACGCCGAGATCTTCCACATGTCCGGGATATTGGCGTGAGTAAAATAAATCACCACGGCTCCACGCACAGGCGTATCTCTCGCTTGCATCTCTCCAGCCCCGAAATACACTCGACAAGTAATCGCTAAATCGAGACGTTTGCGTGGAGAGGGGGAGGGGGGGGGGAGAGGGACACTTGTCGCGCGATCTATGTCCGCGGTGTGATGCAGGGATCACGGTCGGTCTTTAAGGTAAATAATTGATAACGCGATAATATCGCGCGCGCCCGCGCGCTGATGATATCGACGGGTCTTTAACAAATCGTTCAGTCGGAGTGTCAGAGAGACTCTCGTCGGGCGATTAGTCTTTCTCGTGAACTGATGGATTTCACACGTACATACGCACACGCGCACGCACCGGGAACAGAATGGGGAAGATTAATTTTGGCGGAGCCATGGCTGACCTCTCGCCGATGATCGTCGACTCCGCTCGATTCCAGGCACGTCCATTTCTCGGCACGGGCCGCGCGAGGCAGACGCGGCCGATTTGTCGCGAGCGTAAACGGGAAACGTTAAAAATGCAGAAGCGTTGAATAGAGCGCGAGCCCTGAATGAGCGGTACGCTTTAATTCCGCAGTTGCGTGCGCTATAATTGCCGGCGATTACGGACAAGGTTCTCGCGCGCACGCGCGCGCGACGCCACGACAGCGACGTAGAAATAGCGAGCCGACCGTTATCGCCACGCTGCGCGACTTTGGCCGACCCGCGCGATCCTTTCGTTTCCAGAATAACCTTCTGCGGCATCACCATGAAGAATTACGTCGAGGCGAATATATCGCACAAGTCCCACACGACCGTCAAATACACAATGAAGATGCTGTCGAGCAGCTCGGAGACCATCATATTCATGTTCCTCGGCGTCGCCACGGTGAACAATGCGCATAACTGGAATACGTGGTTCGTCGTCATGACGATAGTCTTCTGCTCCGTTTATCGAGCCGTGGGTAAGTGAGAGTCAGATTTTACACCGCTTCTGTCCCGATTATGCCAGCGGTAATAATCAGCGGGATCAGCGGGAGAGAAAGGAAACAGGAGGATCTCTCTCTCTCTCTCTCTCTCTCTCTCTTTCTCTCACGGTTTAACATTTTCAATCTCTTTGCCACTCGACGGCCATTTCGAGGGATCCACGGGAGAAACTTTGGAATTTTGTCGCGCGTTTCCCTCGGATGTTTTCCGAGGAAGCAGCGCGTGCTCTTCAACGTTGCATTTTCGCTTTAATTAATTAGCTCGCGGGCTTACCGTTCTTCCCGAATTTTTGTCCTCGTTAACAAGCGAGATCTGTCTCGAAGCGGCCGACGCCGCGCCGCGCCGCGCCGAGGGGGAGGAGCGGGGGGGGGGGGATTAAAAGCGTTCTAGGCCAGCCTCTTTCCATATGAGCGGGATTATTTCGATCCGCGGAACTGAGAAAATGAGGAAAAGTCACGTGATATAAATAGCGATTCGTGCCGGAGGAATTCAACACGATCACGCGGGCCTTGACCGGGCCAGCTAGCCGGGCCCGGGCGTTAAGGGCGTCGCTTCGTCGCCGCGGCGCGGCGTGGTAAGCCGATATTGGTCAAACGATGAAATCATAATGGGACTTGAGACAATTGACTTCTGCTTACACGAGCACCTTACGTCACTCGGCTTAGCGTGAGCGACGCGCTCGCTTATGGCTTCTTGGCCTAACCGGACAATTTGTCACTCGATCGCGCGGAAAGGGCGAGCCGCAGACGCTTCGTTCGATAACAAACGCGACCGATACGCGTCGGACCGACGTTCTCGATCGCGATCCACCCTGTGTGTCCACCCTGCGAACCCGAGTTTTTTGTTACTTTGACAGGTATAAGCTGAAGCTTTCTTCTCGCGTATCTTGTCGTCTGAAATCACGTCGCATGATGCACTTTTCGATGCATCACGCGACTTAACGCGTTTAAACGCGTTTAAACGACGTGATTTAAGACGAGAAGATACGCGTAGAGGAAGCTTCAGCTTATACGCGTCTCAAAAATAACACACTCGGGCTTGCAGTGTAGTTTCACGCACTGCCAACGGTCCGCGATGAAACGCAAAACGGACGGGAGGATCGACGCGGAAAGGGATGTCTGATAAAATCAAAAGCGGCCGGTCGCTGATTGAATCTCACCGGCCGATATCACGCATTTGCTCCCGCAATCACGGGCTTCCCCAACCACGGGGATATAATCGCTTCGCCCCGCAGGCGTGATAGTGCTGACTGCGCTGGCGAACCAGTTCCGATTGCACAAGTTGGACAAGGTGGAGAAGTTCGTCATGTCGTACGGCGGCCTACGCGGCGCCGTCGCGTTCGCTCTGGTGCTCCTCATAGATCCTAGACACGTGCCGTTGCAGCCGATGTTCGTCACCACCACCATCGCCGTCATCTACTTCACCGTGTTCATCCAGGTGAGTCCATCGTCGAGGGAGACGAGTCGCAAAGTTCGTCGCGGCCGATCGCGAACATCGAGCGATCGATGCGCGACGGACTCGACGCCGGCAGCGTTGCGAACGCGTTGCGTAACGACGACGATGTGCTTCTACGTGCAAGCGCGAGACCTGCAGCTCGCTCGAGTAAACTGGGACGACCCAGTATTTTCAGACACGGCCATGGATGGCACGTGCGCATTTCGCGAGAGTATCTCTCGTTTCCCGACGAGATTTTTCCATCACGGGGGGAGGGAGAGGCAGGACGGAGGAAGGGGAGAAAAAAGTCGCAGCCTCACCGCTAACTCGACGTCCGTGTTTGACTGGCGATTAATGAGAAAGAAAAAATGTGTGTGTGTGTGTGTGTGTGTGTGTGCGTATGTGTGGAGATGCAGCGGCAAAAAAGCGGTGCCTCGCACCGCGTGTCTTTGTTGCGCGATCGATCGGAAACCTAATATCGATGTCGCACATACACGTACACTTTGCGTCGCGCGTTTATCAGCGGCCGCGTGCCGCTCTTCTCTGGCGCCGGCCAGATAATCCACACGGCCGGACCAGATGCGAACGCGTGCTTGGCCGATGACGGTGATGTACGTAATGCGCTTTTCTTTTCAGGGCATCACCATCAAACCACTCGTGAGGATCCTCAATGTCAAGCGGGCCGAGAAGAGGAAGCCGACGATGAACGAGAGGATTCACGAGAGGGTACGTGTCGTCTTTTGACTTTGACTCGCGGCCGAATATCGCGGCCGTCGCCGTCGGGAGGGAGAAGGAGAGACGAGGGGAAACTCGTTCGGTTTACCTTGAGAGTCGCCGTTAATAATAAGAATTCGATCGACTTAAATCTTTTAGAGCTTAGAGAGAAATCTGCCTGAAAACGCGGACCAAACATTCCCACCCCGAGTCCAAGCCAACCGTCGCTCGGAGTCGCGAGGAGAGCGAAGAGTTTTGCTCGAGCTGTAGAGTGAATTTTTAATCAACACGAGCGAATGTCTCGATTCGATTAGGGTGAATTTGCTCCACGATGACGATGGAGTACATCAGATCCAATCAATTACGAGCGAATACTCGACGATCCGATTCCAAGTGGGAGAATTCCAAATGCTACTCGACCCCGAGCGACATGGCTGTCACCCCACTTTCCGACTGGATTTTTGCCCGAGAGAGAAAAATAGAGAGGAAAAGAGAGAGAGAGAGAGAGAGAGAGAGAAAGAGAGCAATTACTTGGAATCCCAGCTGCGACGCGTGGGTTTCTTTTTTTCCTTTCCGTTTCTTTCTCTTTCTTGTCGGCGCAATCGAATGTTGCGACGCGCGGCATTAATCGACGCGAAGAGTATCGAGAGAGAGAGAGAGAGAGAGAGAGAGAGAGAGAGAGAGAGAGGGAGAGAGAGAGAGAGAGAGAGAGAGAGAGAGAGAGAGAGAGAGAGAGAGAGAGAGAGAGAGAGAGAGAGAGAGGGAGAGAGAGAGAGAGAGAGAGAGAGAGAGAGAGGGAGAGGGAGGGAGAGAGGGAGAGAGAGAGAGAGAGAGAGAGAGAGAGAGAGAGAGAGAGAGAGAGAGAGAGAGAGAGAGGAGAGAGAGAGGGAGAGAGAGAGAGAGAGAGGCGACGTCGACGACGACGAGGAGGACGCGCGCAACTACCGTTCGTCACTGTCAGGCCGCATTACGAAGCGCGCACTACGCTCGGCAATTTTTGCCCGAGGCTTTTCGACACGGCATACTGCCTGTGTTTGCTCACGCGAGCGTAAACGTAGCAAATTCCCGCGGATCGCGTACTCGCGCCCACGCCGCCGCCGCCCGCGACCAACTAGAAAGACAAATAACGCTCTCCTGATTTCCCAGATAATGGATCACACGATGGCGGGTATCGAGGACATTTTGGGGAAGCACGGCAACTACCACGTGCGGGATAAGTAAGATGTTCAGCGATAACTCTGTTTGCCCGACAAACTGCCACGACGATACGTCTCGTGATTAACGATAAAATTCCCGGAGCGGAGCTGCCGCAACACCGCGCGAGAACGTGACGACGAAACGAGACGAGTTTACATTCTTCGCTTCGCGAGAACGATTATTTTGCCACCTCCTTCCTTTTTTTTTCCTTGTCTTTTTCGAGAAACGAGAAATAGCGAGAAATCCGCTGTTCGATGTGCTATCGCGATAAAGTTGCGAGATTACCACTTTTAGATTGCCACGAGTATCTTAGAGACTTATCGTCGCAGCAAAACGACGCGTCGCTAATGACGCACGGGATGATGCCTTCTGTATCTCCGCGACCCGCTTTGCCGCAGATTCAAGCGATTCGACAACAAATTCATCCGGCCTTATCTCGTGAGAGATCACTGCGGCGCCGAGCCGAAGATCCTGGAGACCTACTCGAAACTGGCGATGAAAGATGCGCTGGATTACATTAGAAGAAACGCCTCCACCATCGGCAATATCAGCGGCACCGAGAGCATGTCGGCGATATTCCGCAATTACAGCACCACGAACGGACAATTCAACGGCAGGTGAGCTGCGGCTGTTGGCGGGACTTGTCGCGCGCGATTGGCATTTAACCGAAAAACGAACCGGAGAAAGATCGTGCGCGCTACAAGCGAACAGCGACTCCGTCGCGTCAAGCACTTTCTGTGTGTGTGTGTGTGTGTGTGTGAAGGGTCCATTTTACACCATACATAAATATATTTACCAAGCGTGAAGACACAGAGACACGTCAGACAGAGAGACAGCGCGGCGGAGAGAAGCGCACTCGATGTCTCTCTCTCTCTCTCTCTCTCTCTCTCTCAAACACACGGACGCTTACCGCGCGATTTGAAGGCGTTCGAAGAAGAAACGACATCTCCTCCCTTAAACCTCTTCGTGTATGTGTGTGCATGTGTGCGCGCGACACAGCACACAAGCGCGTTCTAATCAGAGACCCTTCGCACCGCATTCGTGTAACCGTTACATTCGTAAACGGTGTTTTGCTGCCTCAGTCCCAGCTGCAGCCAGCTCGAGACGGGATGGAATATCGATCTGCAGGAACTCGAGTATAATCCCTCCAAGAAAGACCTGACGGACGCGAGAATCCACCATCTGCTCGCCGAGGAGCTCTGTAAACCGTATAAAAGGGTAGGAGAGAAAGTTACGATCGTTCCTAGATTCCTTTCAGATCCAACGCGATCTGATCTCCGTTCTCCGTGTGGTCTGTCGTAGCGGCGCGGGTCTCGCGCTACGGCGACAGGCGACACGATTATCAACGCGATGTGTAACGAGAAACGTTCGTCGTGCACACAGCACCGGCGCTTGAGCTACAGCCGACACGCGGTGAACGATCGCGACCTCTCCACCCAGGTCAATTACAAGATGCACATGAATATCCGGCGGATGATGGGCGAGCACAAGCACCGGCACAAGCGCAGCAAGAAGCTGCTCAAAGTAAGGACCGACCGGCGCCCGTCGCCCGTCGCCCGTCGCCCGCGCCTTTAATTCGTAATTCGTTCCCAAGTCCCGACTCGTCGCTCACTGATCGCGATTTCGATTGCACACAGGACGGCAAACCGACCCACGTTAGTTTCCCGGAGTTCCAGCAGAACGGCTCGACGAAACTGCTCAGGCAAGGTACGTGCGAGGCTTACGTCGCGGACGCGGACGCGGACGCGGACGCGGCGGTGTGACTTTTATGGATTACTTTGCGCAGATTACATCAACGGCGTGCTCTACGAGCTAGAGAACGGGGAGACCTCGAAGCCCTCTAGCAAGGAGGACTGGGACTCGGCGATCACCTTCACCGCGCGGACGTCCGGTGAGAGAATGCGCTTGACTTTATGGGAAGTTAAGGAGTCGATTTTCACGGTCCGTTCAAAAACCGCAGAGGGCACTGCTGCGCAATTTCAATTTTCGTTTTCTTTTCTTTTCTTTTTTTTCTGATGATCGAGACGCGACGAATACTGTGAGTGTTCTCTAAAATGAAGAATGTTTCGGGATTCTTGTCTGGATCAGGTCTAGTCAGAATCAGCCTTCAAAAGGGCTTTTAAAAGGATTCGATCGCGACTGGGTCGACAGGCGCGGCGTGTGTATTAACTCGCCGCTTCACCTTTTGCCAAGATTGAGACTCTGACGATTTAATTAAATAAATAATTAGCCTGCCTCTCTTTTTCTAAAGCTGACTAAATATCTAACGTTACTTCAAAATCTCCAAACGAAAGATTCCCCCAATGTAAACGCGGACAATCAACATCCTACCACCACTACCACGTCGATGGACACGATTAATTCTGACGAAGGAGACTTGAAAATAGGACGCGACGGTACGTGTTTCAAGAGAAGAGGAAAACAACGCCCAGCGTTGTTGTGTCTTTACTGCGAGCGAGCGAGTGTCTTTTTCCTTTGCGCCGGGCGTTTCGGAATTGCGGAAACGGTAAAGACTCAACTGGCTGGCTGACCGAGAGAGTTCGTCGTCGCAGCCTGATATCTCCCTTTCGAACCGGTGACTTTGATGGTGATGGAGATCTTTCCTAACTTCACACCAGAAAGATATTTCAAGGAAAAAAAATATCCCCTAACTCCAGATTAACCTCCATTTCGATCGACACATTTCCCGACTTTGCGTCAGTCAATCCCTCGAGCACTCCCCGCGACTCAGTCGCGGAACCTCAGCTTCACACCGGCTTTCGTCCCCGGTCCCTGCGACTTTCAGGACCCGGAGTATCCCGACCATTCCAGCGATTAAGCCGCGTTCTCGAGTGGCCCCGGTGTTGCCGAAAGCAAAGCTGGCCACCTGCTGAGTCCCGGAGTCCCGCGAGTATCTTATCTCTCAGTTCAATACGTAACCACGTTACGTAAGCGCGTCCTTGTCCCCGCTACCCTGTGCGCGCTGCCCGCAGCTGGACCTGACATCGCGGTCGTCGACCTCGATCATGCACGATGCACCCGGCGCGGCGTGTTCGCTGATACCGATAGCGCGTCGGAACTTCAAATGGTCGTAACTCGCCCGACCGAATCGATACGACAGAGCACGAAAAGAAAAGCAATCTTCCGGACGCGAGATCCCTTCCTCCCCCCTCTCACCTCTCCCGCCGCGTCTCTAGGAAATACCGTTCGTGATGCCGCGCTTTTTATTGTCGATTCGGAGGACGAGCGAACCGCGGTCGAACGTTGCGACGGATTAAAGTCGGGAATACTACTCAACCCTCTCTCGGTCTGTCAAGGCGTTTTCGCTCAAGAGCGATATTCACAAAAAGACTCGCCGAAGCGAGTGAGCGAGGAAAAAGATAAGATACGTCGGAGTCACGGTAGATCGCGGTAGCGGAACAACGAGCGGAACACTAGAACGGTGGACTGCGAATGAGCGAGTTTTTATCAGCGGTTTTTTCTTTTTTTTCTTCCGCGACAGTTCCATCACGGCCAGTTGAGTTGATTTGCCCGACTAATTCTGAAATGCTCCCCGTATATTCGTATGCTTCAGACATCGTCTCATCGATCATTGTTCTTTCAAGAATGTCTCATTCCTCTTGATCGTTCGTCGCGAATTGAGGCTGTTGTAACTTCGGTCCCACGCAACACCCCAAAATGTTGCTCACGTCGACGGTAACTCGGTGATCAACATGAGAGAGAGAGAGAGAGAGAGAGAGAGAGAGAAATTTTTCATATCCACAGCACCGAAAATTGCGCTCGCCGAAATCACAACGGCCTCAATTTTCCTCCCTCGCGTAGTCCTTTCGCCGACATTGTCTCGCGACATGTGCGATGTCTGACCTAGGCGCGGAAGGCTACAGAGTCACCACCCCCACGGCCACGGAGACCATGTTACCGTGGAAACGCGAGGACGATTACGAGTCGGGCCACCCTATTAAGCAGAACGAGTTTCCAGCGTGGTGCTCGAACAAGGAATACCTCGCCTATAGCTCGCCCTCGGCCACATTCTTAGGTAAGACGCGAGAGCGAGCGAGACGGGCAAAGAAACTAGAGGCGAAGTATCGATTAACCGGCGAGTATGAATTTGAACGCAGAAATCTCGTCGCTTTGTGCAAAGAGAAACGAAGGAGGTCCTGCTCGCGCGGAGCAGCGACTGCGGAGAGTCGCGAGACCGCGCACGGCCGCATCCCTTTGGCCGGAGCAAAAAAAAAGAAAAAAAAAGAAACAGGGACGATTCGCGAAGAGATTGCCGTCTCTCTCAGCGCGACGTCGCTGACTGCTTGCTCCTGATTGATCCGACAATGTCCCGACGGTGCTTCCCCGTAACGTTTCCGCTCGACTTTCAGGTGGGATTGAGCAGCCGAAAGTCCAATCCGTGATTGGCCTATTTCGACGCGAAAGCGTGTGCACGCCCGACAGTATCGATTGCCAGGAGACGGTCGACGAGGCCGACGAGACGGACGAGTACACCGTGACGAAAATGGATTCCCCCGCGAAAACGAAGGGTACGTGACGCAAAGCAGAAGGAGGGTACGTGTGTTCTTTTTGATTTTTTCTTTTTCTTTCCCCTTTTTTGCCGCCGCGCGTCGCACCGCAAAATCGCACCGAATCGCACCTTCTCTTTTTCTCTCATCCGTGTCCGTCGCGCGAGGAGAACGCTCCTTCCTCATCGACGGTGAGACGAGGGCGACGCGGAAAAGCCGCGGCCTTCTGCGACGTCTTCCCGGAAACGGCAAACGTGACTGTGTGAGTCGACGGACGAGCTCCGCGAGACGAGCGCCGCGTCGCACGGTGGTCTGAAATGATAATAATCGCGCAAAAACCACGTAATAATTTGGATTCATCAGATTTTTATTTTTTAAGTTTTAGCAACACAATGAAGTCGTTTTTAATCGAAATCAAACTTGATTCTTTCTCTTTTAATTGTATGTTTGAATAGAAATTTAGACGTGTCATATGGGATTATCAGAACTGAGAAATAATAACTTTTTTACATCGGTTGGCAATTCTTTGCTTTTCTTCGTTAACTGCACTCGACCGGATACCGGAAAAGGATCAGAAGAAAGCGATAAAAAGAAAAGAAAAGAAAAGTGTGTGTTTTTCAATAAATCATCAAACGTTTTCCGATTGTCAATTTATTAACACGATACTAACGGTACACCATGACTTTTCACGACAACCTGTGTTGCAACCTCGGGTGCAAAAAATGCATATAGAAAGTGGCAATTGGAGTTTTCATTCTTTAACAAGGGAGATTTTGTAGAATATTTTGAAGAAGAGATCATATTGGAATATAGTGGAATTTAAGACAAAATACTTTTTCGAATTGAAAACTTGAGCAATTTTTCACAATAACAACTTTTATCCATGAAAATACAAATGAAAATATCATTCTATTTATAATTAATTGTGATCTGTATAAGCATTTATAACGGAAGAAATTTAAAATAAATATATTATATATATATATATATATATATATAAAAAATTTCTTTTGAAATAAGGAATTTCGGTTTAATCCGATAAATAGCGTTAACACGTATATTATATCATTATTACGTGGGTTTTGCGCGATTATTATCGTTTCAGACCACTGTGCGTCGTCGAGTCGTCGCCGAGTGACTCGGAGCCTCGACGCGGTGTACGCTATTCTTTTCACGCGTTTTCACCGCTTCGACATCGCAGTCACTCGCGCGCCCGCGGCGGCTATTTTGGCGAGCGGGCAATTGCAAAATGAGCATCGACACGCGAGCCGCCCACAATGTGCTAACTGCTAACCGTTTCGCTTCTGAAATATCGCTTCGCGAACCAACTGCACGGCGTAAATTCCTGGTCGTTACAGGAATTCGCGATCTCGCCTTTATCGAGTTCCCGAATTTCGCTGCGCTCCAGAGCGAAAGTAGCCTGAGACATGAACCCTTTGACCTCTTTTCTTTCTTCGTTTCTTCATCAGACACCACCGCCGCCCGTCATTGATCCGCACATCTCTCTATCCGATCTGAATCTTTTCGGAGCGAGCTCGCACGTCAAAGCTTCGCGCGTGAATTTTTCCCTCACGGCTGCTCCGTGAGATTCACATCTCAACATGCGCCAACCACGTAATATGTAGATTCGCACAGATCTACCTTCCTACGTAAAACGCCCGCTTCGCTGCGATACTTGCGACAGCGCCGCAGCGGACGCCGGCGGCTTGCGTCTCCTCGGTACGAAATAAAAGAGGCTCTCGCTTCATCTACGATTGCCTTGCTGGCTCTTAATTTTCGCAAGTTACGTATTAAGCGGAATGGAATTATCTCAAGAAACGTGATCTCTAGTTTTGTATAGATAGATAAATGCATCCTAAGAAATAATTTTCCATTGTTCGACCTCGCGCGGCTCTTACTCGCCAAAAACGAATGCTCGTGAATTAAATAGCCAGAAACCCAACAACGTTCCGGTTCAGCTCCAAGTAGAATCCAACGTGATAACCAACCGACAGTCTCCCTCGTCAAGACCCACACCTGCCGCAACGAAGCGAAACGGTTGTCAAAGAACGCCTAGCGATCTCACCGTCGAGCGACGTAGACTCTTCTCCACGTAGATCACACACGACACTCTTACAGCAAGCGAGACGGTCGATTTGTTTCTTCCAGGTCGCGCGAGGGTGCCCGCGAGGAGGGTGTCGATGCTGGAGCTCGGCACGGCCGACCGGGTGCACTCGGAGAAGGCGGACGACGGTTCTCACTCCTTGCCAGACTGTTGGAGTGCCCAGAGAATACGCCTTAACTCCCTCGCCTGCTCGGCCCAGATGCCAAGCCTGTCGACCGCCCTGATCACCTCCTCGTCGGAGTCGTCGGAGGATGTGGACGAGGAGGAGGAGAAAGCTTGACCCTTGGGGGTCGTCGAGGAGCAGCAGCAGACGTTCACGTACACCGCGGACGTCGAGCGCCGGCGACGTCGACCGCCCTTCCGGCGGCCACCGAGACGCTCGTTGCTCAGCTCGCTCCTGCGACGCCCGAGTGCACCCGTCTGAGAGGACCTACCCTTGACAAGCCGCCTGCTGCGGCGCGGATCGTGCGAGTCTGAGTCGACCTGAATCGCGAATTCGTCGACTGGATACGCGAGACTCACGCGAGCGAATTCTCTTGTGGAAATTCCCGCGGACCTACGAGGATCGCACTGAAGAATCTCGAAGTTGCCGGGCTTCGTGCGAGTGAAGACACGTCGCGGCAAGAAGCGAACGGCGATCGCGGAGAACGAGAGAACAACGAGAGAAATTTTTCTTAGGGCGCGAGCTTCTCGCCAGGTGATCGCCTACCTGAAACCGGGAGCTTTCTTCGCTTGACTTCGACGACCGCGAGGACAGCGAGGTGGCTGCGCGAAGACGTACCTTGGAAGAATGAGACATGAGCGAATCGCTGGTTTATCCGCGCCGCAAGAGCGCATCCGCGAACACGAAGGCGCTTGTCGAGAGCAAGAGGTTATTTCTACATTCGTCTCTAAAGACGTCATGGAATCGTGGCCTTAAGGACTATGGAAGTACTCTGACGACAACGACGACGACGTCGTCGTCGTCGTCGTAGCAGTCGTCGATACAAAATTCACGTGTCGGTGCTGTCGGTGAAACACAAAGTCTCGCCGAGATAATTGCGCGACGACGAGTACGCAAGCTTGTCGCGGCTAGTCGCAAGATTTCTCACGAGTACCTTTTTGCGGGGGTTGATTCGACGACCAGCTCGCATCGCGACCGGGTCGTTCGGTCATCGCTGCTGTGCGCTTTCGCGACTCCGAGCTAAGGTCGGGCCATCGACTCGGCCCAGTTCGCCGTGACCAGGTTTCAGCCAGCGTGCAAGTCCAAAACTATGAAGAGGTGTTCCTGGAACATTGTGAAATATTCACACTGTAATCTTCTGTGAGATGATTTCATTATCGACGTATCGACTCGATTTACCTTAAGTCCATATGGAATTTTCGGTTCCGTCATGATATTTTGGGGAAGGGGCTGCAAAAGTTTGGCGGATCGTCGGTGATTTCATCGAAAGATGAGTCCTTTCACAGACGAATTCCTGAAAGGTTGCAATAGCCAAGATAAGTAAAACGGGAGTCAATCTAAGCCGCAGGAGTTATGAATAAATAAGTCAAATAATCAAATAATAATACCTGAAAGGACCAGGAAACTGGATGACAGATTCTTGAAGTGACTAAGAATCCGATCAACTTTTGCAGGCTCCTAGCATTTTCCCCGAGTCTTCTTTCTCGACGAAGTGCTTGCGCCTCTCGTCTGGATACATGACGTTTCTGTCCTTCTCAGTGACACCTGTAGAAAGGAAAAGAGATTTCTGTATTCATCGAGTCGTTAATTATCGGTCTCGCGGCTTGATCGCGCAGAATCTGACCGCGCAATCTGAGAAAAATAATTGAAACGGCCGTGAAACGACGATGAAAATCCACGCGATTAAGGAGAAATCGCACGTTTCCGCGACCACTTTGTTCGACGACGACGGAACGAGTCGTTAGCCTGGCCACAGCTTCTCGCAGACGAGAGTCTAGTATTAGGTGCGTTCTATCGTTAGCGGTTCTAACGCATGTACGTACGTATAAACAAACGCACGCACGCACGCACGCACGCACGCACGCACGCACGCACGCATGCACGCATGCACGCGTGCATGCAAGCATGCGACGCAGCACGTCGCGGTGCGCGTAGACGACCCGTAGCGACGCATCCCCAGCCGAATTTAGGAGATTCCCTTCTGGAGTCGACGCGAGAACGGTCGCGCGCCCTTCCGCTCGGCGATTTCGTCGCGACGAGCTCTCTCAATTTTCTCCGCGCGGAATTTCACTCGAAGAGCCGAACGAGCCACTCAAAGTCGAGTGCATCCTCTCTCGCTCGTGCATGCACAGCGGAACTCTTCCACTATTCAGCATCGCACCGACGGAATATTTTCGCTCGCGATCCAAGGGCGAATTTGACGGACGAATACGTTGGGTGTCTCGCCGCCGCAGGAACAAATTCGCCCTATAATCGATCGAAAGTCTCGCTCGTGCAACAATTGGAGAGTCCACTCCAGGCTTGAGTGAAACGCTCGCTCTCGCGATTTTTCGCGATCGGCGGTAATCCCGCTGTCGCTTCTCGAGTGAATTTCCACTGGTTTTACTCCGCAGGGTCTACCCGAAAAAAATTCAGAGAGAGAGAGAGAGAGAGAGAACGCGCGCGCGCGACCCGTAACGCCGTGCAAGGACGAAACAGAAGAATACAGGGAGAGATGCGCGCTGCACCACGAGGCGCGCTCTTCTCCCTTCGAGTATGGCCTTAACATTTTCACGTGCGAGCGGATTTTACTCGCGAGAGTGAATCTCATCTGCAACGCACGGCGCGTATCCGCGCATTACATTGTTGATAAGCGGCCACGGCACGCGCTTCGACCCGAGTACTTAAAAGCGAGTGCCGCAGGAGCATGTACATACATACAGGTTTTTTCTTAGAGAAAATTAACGCTAGAGGAGCCTCTCGAGAGCGTCATCCTCATCGTCGTCATCCTCAGCAGCATTCTCATCCGCGTTATTTTCGCGTCATCGTTTAGTATTATTTCGTCGAGACGAGCAGAGAAGGACAGGCAGACAGAGAGAGAGAGAGAGAGAGAGAGAGAGAGAGAGAGAGAGAGAGAGAGGGAGCAGACGGGAAGAGGAAAAGGAGACGAAGAGCACGAGTCGGGCGGCGGAATGCGACCACATTAGAGAGCATTCTTTATTCTAGTTACTATTGTTACTCTTGTTATCGTACGCTAGTATATGACTATACTAGTTCTCTGCTGCGCTAATAATTAATAATACGCGATCGTAGCGGCAGCTCGACGTGTGCACGCGAGAGGCAGCGGCGAGCGTCGAGCAAGAGCTAGTTTCCGAGGGGAACGTCGTCGGGAATTCTTCGATGTAATCGACGATTCGTGCGGGTGACGCGTGTCACGCATTTGACGATACACACCAATTATCAAAACCGAGACACCACAGACTGACGGTTGACGGTTGATTCCACGCTCTCGCGACGACGAAAGGGTGGGAGGGAGGGAGGAGGAGAGAGAGAGAGAGAGAGAAAGAGAGAAAAGCAGAAGCGAGCGAGAGAGAGAGAGAGAGAGAGAGAGAGAACACTGCGATCTCTTCCTTTGTACAACTCTTCTCACACACGCCAGACACACCTTCTACACACCTGCAGCGCGAGGGTTCAGAGTCAATTTTATTGACGCCATAATTAGCTTAGAGTTTAAACGGATCAAATGAACAAGTGAGAAAACCGGGCCCGTTTTGCCCCGTGTCCGTTGGGGAGCCTGCGACGTTTTGATACGCTTATACTCTTTCTTCCGGATCGCATCGTGTCCGTGGAGCAATCTTGATTTGTAAACGTACGCGTGACCTCCGGAGTCGTACACCGGGTCGCGCTGCACAAGGATGAGACAGGGTACAAGTTCACATTGTTAAAGAAGGACGAGAGAGGGAGAGAGAGAGAGAGAGAGAGAGAGAGAGAGAGAGAGAGAGAGAGCGACCAACAGCGAAAAAGGAACAAAAGAGAAAGATATAGAGAAAAAGCGGAAAGCTTCTCCGCGACGACAAACGTGATTCTCGTGAGAATAATTTTTGCACGGATTTGGGACTTCCCCTCGCATGGAAATATTCCTCGCGGCCTTTAGTTACTTAGACCGGAATAAAACGTCGGACTAGTCTCTAGGCGCTAGTCTCTACGCTGTTGATTTGTTAAAATGAAAATAAATGTTTATTTCTTAAAAGACCGTTACACCGATATCTTTATTTCGCTCACTAGACACCTCTCACTAGATCCTCTCCTGAAACATTATCGCTCTTCTCGTCGACAATCAATGCTCTATCGCGAGGCCCTAATAAATTCCCCCCCCGTCTATCCCCGCTCCTCTCCGCTCCGTCTCGAGCAGAGTTTCAGGTGACGGAAATCGCAGTTGCACCTGTCCAATTATCGAGCCTCCACCTTCACTCCACCGCTCACTCATTCCAATGTCACGTTCATCGCGTCGGAGCTGGGGCGTCGAAGTGGTCGTTATTCGCCCGACAATTACGAGGCGGACAATAAAATGATTATCGTCAGCTAATGAAATTGGTAGACCTTCGACCTTCGGCAGATCGCTCTCAGCGGGCCGAAGTAGAACAGTCTTGGCAGTCTTTGCGCGCAACCGTTCCTCGTTCGAAGTCGCTGATTTGCGGAGCAGGCATGCCCGGTGGCGTCGTCTTCCTGGTCTGCATACCCACCCTGAGTTACGAGCACGAGCTTGTGTTTGGCGTGCCACTGAAGCGCTCCAAGAAGGTCGATGGCGGCAAAGGTAAACTCCCGGTTGCTCCTACGCCCAAAGTGGACTTGCGACTGAAGGAGGTGAAATCACGCCCGCAACTGCTCACTCTTGATGACGACCGCGATAACGATCGCTACGGCGATAACGGAGACGACGACGACGACGACGGCGGTGGCGACGTCGGTATCGACGTCGGCATCGACTCCAGGAGGCAACGCGCTCGCGGATACCCGGCGCGAGCAAAATCGCCGGTCTTCGTGTCGATGGAAACGGTAGAGTGTAATAAACTGAGTATTAGCTAATGAGTGCCCTGGTAGGTTTCTCTAATTATGCTCTCTAACACTTTCTATTTCACGTTTCTCCTCGATCCTCCTGCTTCTCCTCTGTTTTTCCTTCCCTCGTTCTTTACGTTATTGAATATTTCGATATTTTGATCGTTTAGTAAATTTAAAAAATTGAGTGATTGCATTGTTTGATCAAGCTGAAGCTATGCTATGTGTGTGAAACTATGTCGGGCAAAAGTTTGCGATCTAACTGTGAGAAATTGGAAGAAACGAGTCGCGTGTTCGAATCCGTAGGTTCTGAGCGAGCTCCTCAAGAAGTTGAAAGTGGAGCACGTGGTGTGGTGCAAGGATAAGGAGGACATGTATTACGAGGTAGGACCCAGAGAGTCGTCCGTCAATACTTACTTTCTCTCCCTCTCTCTTTCTCTCTCTCTCTCTCTTTCTTACTTTCTTACTTTCGCGTTTATCCCCTCGAGCGCGAATATAACGTGAACGTTTTATGACAAAAGGTGATCTTCCCGGTGCCCGCCGGCGAGCCCTGCGAGAACTGCATACACTGCCTCACCGAAATGGGTATCGGAGTGAAGATGAACTCGATAGTAAGGTGATATCACGCCGAGTTCGCGCGAGTAACACCAGCGGGTTCAAATCGCTCCGGAATTATGACGTCGGTTGATTTCTTTCAGCGTGATCCCGACGCAATGCACGTACAGCAGCGTGAACGGCGCAGGATCGTCGGCCGTCATCAAGGACGAGGTTGCTCGCAGGTTCGCTCGGTCGGTTTCCTTAGCACATTGATTGCCATGGTAGTTCGCATGAATCGCTTCCAAAGTTTCAACTTTGAACAAGCAAAATCACACAGCGGATTTTCTCAGCTTTCTCGCAGCTACGTTGCGACTATGTTGCAATTGTACTGCTCACTCGTGGCAATTAACGTGTTAATGATGTCGATATGAACATTTTATGATATGAAAAGTTACCTCTGTCAAGCACGATTTCAAGTCCGACACGCGTTCTGTGTCCCTCAGACGGAAGGAGGCGGAGGATCGTAAGAATGCATGGGACGATTTCGTGGGGTCGATCAGGTCGAAGTTAACGGTGAAGCAGGTGGTCGATGGAGTTCGCAGCGGTGGTGATCTTTCGTTCGATTACGTGCTGCTGGTGTTAACCGCGGAGTAAGACCAACATTGTCGCTCTCGAACGAGTGTTCTGTGACAATTGAGAATATCGTGTCGCTGCAACGTAGTCTTAATACAATAGTCTCATGTGACAAACAATAAGCACCTGTGACGCAAGACCTGTGACGATTTTACAGCTGCCTTGCCGCGCTCGGACTCGTCGAGAACAGCGCGACCAACGTCGTCGCGGCTATGCTGGTGTCACCTCTCATGGTAAAGCTTCTTGACGAAGCGATATCGCGTTAATTGTCCTTGCTCTCCCTCCCTCCCTCCCTCCCTCTCTCTCTCTCTCTTTCTCTCTCTCTCTCTCTCTCTCTCTCTCTCTGTTCGACGCACGCCTATCTGATCGTCTGATTGATCCAAGGGACCCGTGATGTCGCTGACCTTCGGTACCATCATAGCTGACAGGGATCTGCAGCTGGTCGGCCTAAAGAGCTTGATGCTCGGCATCTTCTTGTCGATACTCTTCGGCTTCATCTTCGGCCTCATCCTCGGCACGACGGAGATGCCGTGGGGCTACAACGATTGGCCGACCGATGAGATGAAGGGCAGGTGTGTAACCCGGATAGTTGGCACACACGGCTCTGCTTCGAGTACTATTCTATTAGTTTCATTATTATATTATATATAATAATATAATACAATATAATATAATAATATAATAAAAATATGAAACTAAAGAAAATATAATAAGGTATATATATATATATATACAATATCTGATATATATTTTACTGTACAATATTAATAATCGTACATCTCGATGACATTCCATCCACACACATCCACACACACACACACACACACACACACACACACACACACACACAGAGGCAACTACAGGTCGCTCTGGATGGGTGTCCTGTGGGCTCTGCCGTCCGGCACAGGCGTCGCGGTCGCTCTGCTGCAAGGCAGTAATGGACCGCTGATTGGCGTGGCTATATCAGCCTCATTACTGCCGCCGGTTGTTAACTGCGTGAGTGAACAGCTTGCTGTAGCATACTGTAGCTGAGAAACATAATAAAGCGAACGGTATAATTACGGTAATTGCAGAGCGTAAAGTTACTCCCGCGCGCGTCTCTCTCCGTGCGCGTTGGCACGATCGACGTAACAATCACGTCTCTGTAAACTGAGATCTCTCGCTCTCATGCTTCGCAGGGTCTATTTTGGGCTCTCGGCTGCATATGGCTCATTTACCGGCCCATAAAAATGCCCCACATCAAGGGCGAATCTTACACGGACTTTAATAGCTCGTACAAGTACGTCTACACCGATTATCTGCCCGTCGAGTTCTTCTGCAACGGCATTATCAGCGCATGCCTGACGTTTATCAACGTGATGTGCATCTTTATTACGGCGATAATAGTCCTGAAGGTAATTAAAGTTAGCATACGACGCGACCAGGCCAGGTAATTGCCGGGAATAACGATTCGCAAATTGCGCTCATGGAGACCCTCGGCCCGAGACGATTGTACCTGCTAGACGTTACCGATGTACACGTCACAAGGCTAATTGCAGAATTTCAGCGGTTAATTACGCCGTCTTACTTACGTCATTGATACGACCGACATCGCAATTTTTATAATTTCGAGTTCAGCGAGCGTGTTCAGCGAGCCGCGCTCGCTCTCGCGCTTATCGCTTATTTCTATTTCTGCCTCTAATCGTGTTCACCCGACCGCAGATTAAAGAAGTGGCAGCGCCGTACACGTCTACGCCGGAACTGCGCCGATTTTGGCAGCACGACATCCGTCTGGTTCGCGATAAGAATATCTCGCGGGATAACAGTTCTCTCGACTCAAGGTAAGAAGTTGTTGCGCGTTTCCAACATCGTCGGAAAGCGATTACATTACGATTTCATGTCGCTTAATTTATCGCGCCGAATATTAGTTACTACGAAAGGCTGAGCAAAGTTAAGCAACGAGCGCTGGAGCGCACGCTGAACGAAGCGGTGAGGGAAGCGATGGACGATGAGACCTTCAGGAAAGTGCAACGGCTCAGTTACGGGCAACACGGACCGGAGGAGGTGATTTCTCTGACGCTTTCCTTTTCCTTTTCAGTCTTAGGCCGAGTCTCGTTCTGCACACTTTCATGCGCTGCAAGCAGCATTCTTTTATCTTCATCGTTGCTTACATCGTTGCCGAGAGAAGACGGAATGACGCTTTCAGCGCGAGAGCGTGCAAGACGAACTTGGCTTTAATCGAACTCGTGACTCAATTTCATAACTCACCGTCGCGAATCGCGCGCAGATTGGACCTCGGTTTGGCCTTCATAATCGCGGGAACACGAGTAGGGGCGGGAACGCGAAAGGCTGCGAGAGCATCGAGGAGATTGGCGCGGATCTGCGCTCGCGCATGGATCGCTTGACTAACTCTGGCAATACGACCGAGGACCTGGCCGCTTTGGACCGACTGATAACGTATCTCTTGGGTCAGCCGAGTAATCCAGCCGGTAGCAACTTGGGCTCGTGGAGACGCTCGCGTCACGCTAGCGCGCGAGGATACCGGCAGCTACGCGGCACCACTGCCGACGGCGCGGAAACCGGCGGCCATACTGCCGTCAATACCGGCACAACGCCCGTTTGAAAGTCACGGAACACGCTCTTTGGATATCATGGATGGAGGACGTCATGGGATGAGTCTCGGGGTGGACAAAGAACGACTAGAAATAAAAATAACGATACAAGGCAGACAGGGAAATACACTAAAGTTATAAAGATATACACATATATATAATCGTGACTAAATAAAAAGAACGGTGAAGCTTATCTGCGTACGATTATCAATGCGTGAATTGAAGTGACATTTAATTTGGCACTAAACTATAAGGTGAAAACTAAAAACACACGTTTTTAATCACAAAAAGTCACAAGAGTTAATAATAATAATCTTGTACCTTTTTATTCAAGATTCGACAGACAATTTGTTTTCGCGTTCGTATCAATTTACGTACTATTATCAAACATGCGACTTAAACGGAGGGATCTAAGAACCGCAGCTCAGTCATCAATGGAGGAGGGCTCAGTACCGAAGTATCTGTCGCCAAAGTTCCCGATGCCGGGTAATACGTAAAACTTCTCGTTTATCTCGGGATCCAGCGCAGACGTGACGATCTTCACGCGTGGGAAGGCATATGCGATAGAGTGCACGCCAGACTCCGCCATCAGCAGCGACACCAGCAGCACGTTCTCTTCGGCCACGTCGTGATCCAGCAATACCCTGATCGCCATGATGGCAGCTGCACCGGTGGCGACTGTCGCGTCCATCAAAATCACTTTGTAGTCCTTAATGTCCTTTGGTAATCGGAGGTAGTATAACTGGACACGTGCGAGAGATTAAGCGAATTATCCAACTCAGCAGTAGACGATGCTTACGAGGAGGTTAGGGGTTCACCTTCAACACTCACCTCAGGCTCGCCAGTCTGTTGATTAGTCTGAATGAGAATTTTGCCTATTCGAATATCCTTGCATACATCTCGAACGGCTTGCTCCATGGTCTCGCCGGCACGTAATATCGATACGCCGCATATTTTATCCGTCGCACCTCGTTTGCCATTGTATAATACCCCTTGAGGTGTCTCTATCGTGACTTCCTTCACATAAAAATGATTAACTGTGAAATCTCGTCGACTTGGGTGATATCCGAGATTTGAAGATCAAACAACAGAGTCGTTGCATTTTTTGCTGATGACGTAGATAAACCAATCATCTAGTTGAAACAAACTAGTGCTCCTAAACACTTACCTCACGATTATAAGTCACTTACCTCAAATGGCAGCAAGGATAAAGCATACTCGATGACCAGACGGATTAATCGTTTGGAATAAAAAATAAATTCATCTCGATACGTCTCCTTGTTGCGTATAAACGTGTGAAGACCTTTTATCTGTGGTGTGTCGGGAAGTAAGTAGAGCGACGAGGGCAATGGTTGACCGATGTACGAGTGCGCCAGTTTCTGCCTCAATTTAAAGCCCCTCTGCGAAAGCGACGCAAAAGTCGACAATTATCGATCGAAGACGGCAATCAATAAACACTGATAACTGCTTAACATAAGAGTTAGGAATAGAAACTGATAACTCACCAACTGAAGCTGAGTGTGAACATGTTGCACGATGAGCTCTATCGCCACTTCGTTCTCGCCTCCGCGCGGTACAATAATATCGGCATGGACCATAAGGGGAGCAATATAATAGTAAAACGATGGTTGGACCATGGTGCTATACTGTTTTAATACACCCTCTAGATCCCTCCCTCTTTGCGAAATATCCCTCTTTAAGCGTCTGGCGAGTCTGATGTCCGCGTCGGTATCGACGAAAACCTTCATGTCACACATCTAAAAATGAAACGTCCGTTATTTTCGATCCCTTATGCGATTTTCAAATTCATCTCCCTCCATCGGCTTACCCTCAACACATCCACATTGTAGAAGGTCAGTATACCCTCGAATATAATGACGTTGGCACCATACATAGTTTTCTGCCAAATAAATGTGTCCAATAGATTGTCGGTCAGGTTTTATTCATATTTTAACATTATGCAATTATTAGAACGTATATTCGTAAGCTTGAAAATAATATGAGGTTATGTAAGTTTTTAATTTTGAAAAATATATTAAGAAGTTTACAAGCGAAGTTGACCACAATGACACTCTGACCTCTAAAGGCTCATGTGACGTCGGACGTAGAAATCACGTTAAGTTTTTGCGCACGCAGCGGTTTCAATAAGTCTCAATAAGTACGTCAACTTACCGTTCTGCTCTCCCTGCTATGCGTTACGAAGTTATAAATAGGAACTTCCACCATTCGTCCTTCTTTCAGACGCTGTAATGTAATTTTGAGAAGCTCGAAGTCGAAAGCGTCAGGATGATCGAAGTTGTACTCGTTGCGCGCAGCCATATCGTGCTGCTTTTCGTTCAACACCTATAAGACAAGTGTACTCGATAATGTACTCTATAACATATCGTTCTGTACTGTATTAATGGCGAATGTACATGAGATATTTGTTACCTTATAAAACGAGTCCATGCTCAAAAGAGTAACCCATGGAACATTCAGAGACTCTATAATTTTAGTCGCGACTGTCGTTTTGCCGGAAGCACTGCCACCACAAATACCTGTCGTAAAACGACAGTTTGAATTTTACAGTTAAATTTTTATCATAACAGATCTGTTATTTTCATTCAATTAAAAGTAAAAAAACTGGATATGAATATGAACCAACCAATGACAAAAGGTTCCACTTGTTGACCAGCTGAATTGTACCAAGGTGGTCTGCCGGCCGTATAGATAGTCCGTGTTTTACTCCTGAGAATCGATTCCGCTGATGTCTTCTTGCTCGATTGCGACATACTAGTGGTACGTTGTCTACGTGACCGTGGTGACTTCTGTGACCCTGTTACAATCATGCGACATATACTCTTTCACCTACTTGATATCTTTTACGTATCTATATACTTTTCTCTAAAATACTATCAATATTTTGATTCTCACTATAATTTCATTTTTAAGTAGCATAAACCAAATGCTAATTCAATTGAAAATTGAAGCATTAAGGTAGGATTAAAGATAGGAAAGATAGGTTTTGATATACTTTTTATAGTGTTTTTGAGACAAGCTGATCAAGGAACTCAGGATATGGAATTACTTGCATCTCTTCTCACAGGCATAACTTCATTGAACCACTAAGTCTGAAATGGATTTATATGCAGCTTAACAAACATGATACGTAAATATATATTCACCCCACATCCATCATGTAATCATACCATTGCAGTTACTTCACTCACTGATAACATATCTGAGGCAACGTTATGTTAAAAGATTCTTAGCTGTTGATTTGAGACTATTGCACAAGCAGTCACTGTTATCAGTCACACCTGCACAAACTTTACGTATCTTCCTCTACCAAAGACGAAAACCTTGATGGAAAAGACACACATGTTCCTCTAATTACAGTTCTACTCCAGCTATTCTCTAACAAGTGAAGCACAACATTGTCACACATGTGAAACTAGACAGAACTTATTTAACAGCATATAACGTGTGTTGACCTTCAAAACGACGACTGGGAGAGCTTGGTTTCTTGAGAATAAACGGTTCGTTAAAATCGATCATCTACCTGTGGCGGATGGTGGCCGCGGTGATTGCGGAGTCGGAGTGCCGACGTCGGAACGCCTGTGATGCTCGGCATCTTCGCACAGCTCGTCCACGAGGCAGATTTCTCGGTCATCCAAACACACTTCGGCGTCGTCACTACGAAAAGAAAGAAATTTGCACGATTATCTTTCCGGTCGGGACCGTCGAGACCGCGCGTGAGGTCGACGGATATACACGACACGGGCGATAACCGAGCAAACGCCATCGGGCGCGCTCGCTCACCTCTCGGAACTCGCCGAACTGGGTGGCTCGCAGTGCTGCATCTTCGCTGCCATTATCCCGTTGTCCCAGTGACTCGAATCCACCGTCGTCGACGCCGTCGCCGGTGTCGTCACTCGGCGCGCCGAAGACGCGCGCTACCTGCAGCACTCGACGCGTTCTACTGCGTCGTACATGCAGATCGTTCCATGCCGAAAAGGTACGCTACGCGAAGCTACACGGGACGTCACCGTGACTTCGTCTGCTGCGTCGCGAAACCCACACGCGGTCCCGTGTATATTTTGACACTCGCGCATGTGCGGTAATCGCGATAAAGGATCCGCACTCATGTCAGATCGATGTTCGATAATCCGCGATATCGATGTCCCGCGATTATCTATCGGAGATGCGCACCTTGGGTGCGATCTCCTGTTCTTTTTTGAACAGCTTTGAAACTAGTGCAACATATAAACTAGATTGAGCAAAAGTATACCTGTTTCCAACTCCAACTTATCGCGCCAGTTCAGAGATCCCTCGAAAGGGAAAACAGACTTATATTGCCCATCGAACAAAAACATATTCACGTGATTTGAAAGCACAAAGCTACCACTTTCATTCGATTTTAATTCACTGTTTCCCTTGGCGATTCAAATTCATATCGATTACCGCGGAGGCTTCAAAGCAGCAAGTATCGAAATCTGTATCGAGAAAAAGTCGACCAGTATCCTCGGATTTCTCCCAAAACAACTTCCGTAGTGCAAAACTTGTAATTCCAAACTTACACACTTCGCTGGAACGTGAACGCTCGATGTAACTCATACAAGATCTCGAGATTATCCTCGACAACCCCGGCCGCCCACGAGTTGAAACTCACTCCGAGATTGACAGCCCTGAGTAAATTTTCGTATCAACCAAGGGGCCCGAAGGGGTCCGGAGGTAATTGAAGAGCAATGATAATACCGATCGCTCAATCCGCTCTGTCTCCACGAGCTCTGCGACAATTGCTAGGAGACACCCTGTTTATACACAGGGTGTCGCAGAAAAATTTTTACGACAACGACGACGACGAAGACCAACGAACAAAGGCCAACAGTCTCTATAGTATCTCGTGTCGGTGCCCACTCACAGAGCTCGACATGAAGTTTCTTCGCGAGAGAGCTGCACGCAGCACAGCGTTGAACGTTGAAACGGCAGCGCGTCTCGCATCGCGTGCGAAAGAGAACGCGGCGCAAGTGCGATCGGCAATGGCGGTATCTCCCACTAATCAAGTGCTCTTCGCCGCGACAACCTACCGCGGTAGATTCGGCCGGCAGGTTCGAATCACCAGCGAATCCACGTCGCGTGACAGGCGTAGCCGGCGCGCGCGTTACGTCGAATCGCGGCGAACCGTGCGTTCATTCAGCCGGTAACGCCAGCGCGATCTGTCGACCCTGTCGACCGGCCGAGCATGAAGTATATACTCTCGTGTCCGGTCCGAGAGACGGAGAGAGAAAAAGCGGCGGAGAGGCGGGAGAGATAGAGACAACGAACCGAAAGTTACCCCGAGGCTTACCCCCGATGGCTTCTACGTCGCGTTGACTCCGCGTCGCGTGACGTCGCGCCGTCTTTTAATAGTCCGCGACCGGTTGGCTCGTGCAGCGCGTACGTACAGCATACAGCGGCACAAGACAACGCATCGCATCGCGCGCGATCCAACACTACGCGACATCGCACGACACACGTACGTACCGTACGTACGTACGTAAGTCGCAACTCGCCGGGAGACGCGCCCTCGTTCGACCTTGAGCCTATAACCGGTAACGCGCAACGTTCGATGTACGGAGCATCGGCGCACGGAGAATCGCTGCTGATCGCCGCAACGAGCCCACCACCGCGACAAGCCGCCCGGCCGCGCTCCTCTTGCCCGCTCCTAGCGCTGTTTACCACCTCGTCGGCGGCGCCTCATCCTCCTCCACCTCTTCTTCGACACGGGACGGCCACCACGGCGAAATGGCGAAGAAGACGTACGACTTGCTGTTCAAGCTGCTGCTCATCGGCGACTCCGGCGTTGGCAAGACCTGCATACTATTCCGCTTCTCGGACGAGGCCTTCTCCACCACGTTCATTTCTACGATAGGTGAGAAAGGGATAGAGCGTGTGCGTGGGAGAGTGAGAGAGAGAGAGAGAGAGAGAGAGAGAGAGAAAGAGAGAACTAAAGTGAATGAGAGGGGACGGAGAGCCGCGGGGACGCGTTTTCTGTCGCGCGACTTGCTTCTATATTCCGCGGCGAATTAGGTTAGAAACGCCAGGACGAGCCACGAAGAGCCATGGAGAAGTTGTGTTCGTCGATATCACGTCAACATATCCTATTCCACAACAAGACGGCTCTGTTTCTCCGCAAGCGAGAGAGCGCACGTACAAACTCGTGAGTGTGCATGCATACACACGCTCACGCACACGCGCGCGCGCGCGCGCGCGTCTGTGCGGCCGGAGTGTAATTAGGAGCGTGTTTCTCTTCGCAAGAAAAAAAGTAATCGTTGTACTTTGCCTGCGCGAGGTTCTCCGCGAGTCCGCGCGTTGACTGCGAAAAAACATTCGCCTTGTACGCCGCGATAAGTCTCGCAATGCCTCCCTCTCTTGATAAACAATGGTAATTCTGCAATAAAAACCGATAGATTTTAACATAAAAATATTTGAAATTCCACTGGTTGATTTATGCTCATTACACAAAAGATTCGTATGTATTTTAGAGAGGTTAAAACCCTCTTAAAGTTTCTCATTGATAATCTTTTCATATTTTATCATTATATAACAATAAAAGAATGCATTTGTCAATAGGTATCGACTTCAAAATCAAGACAGTGGAATTAAGAGGAAAGAAAATCAAATTACAAATATGGTAAGTTGTTGTGCACAATATTGGAAAAATATGGGAAAATGTACGTAGAAAGACAATATGTATCTATATTTATTTACCTTGTGCAGGGATACAGCAGGGCAGGAAAGATTTCACACTATCACAACATCATATTACAGAGGAGCTATGGGCATTATGCTTGTCTATGACATCACTAATGAGAAAACATTTGAAAATATTGTGAAATGGTTGAGGAATATCGACGAGGTATGTGCGCAGCATAAGATTTATACGGTATATTGACAGATTTATGAATCACAGGAGATAAAGTTATTCATTTATCAATGGTAAATATTGTCCATAGCACGCGAATGAAGATGTGGAAAAAATGATATTAGGAAATAAAAGTGACATGGAAGATAAGCGTGTTGTTAGCACTGAAAAGGGAGAGGCGGTAAGTAGTATTTGATTACTGATCACCGATTACACCTAATTATCTCGTCTAATTACTATATGTTAAGAACATGGTGGTACAGGACATGTATGGTTCCGACAAAATCTACTTAGTTGTGACTAGTGGCGATTTTTCTTGCTTACAGATAGCCAGAGAGCACGGCATTAGATTTATGGAGACTTCCGCGAAGGCAAACATCAACATTGATCAAGCATTTAGCGAGTTAGCGGAAGCGATATTGGACAAAACACACGGCAAAGAGCCACAAGACGCGCCTGACAGAGTGACGGTTGATCGAAGGGTAGAGCGAAATTCGAATCGGTGCTGCTAATTTTATATATTATTTATTTTAACGGCGCATAAACGAACTATATATCAGCTCGTGCCACTTGGAATAGAGTCCTTGATAGATTTAGAGCGTAATTCAAAGCATAATAACATAATTAAACACGTCACGACACTGCCTCTGATCAAGTTATAATCCAGTCTCACGCGTATCTGCTGCGTCAAAAGTACATTTTTCTATGCTGCAATTGAGAGAGAAAAATGTGGAATTGTTATATTAAAAAAAAAAAAAAGAAGAAAAAGGGGGCAAGAAAATTATATAACACATTGGAAATAACATCCGAAAGTTACGTTCTCAACTAATGTCTGCGTAAATGTCAGGAAGAAAAGTTCATAAAAATACGGGCGCTGTTCCATGCATATATGTAATTGTATCTATAATTATATCTGTGGTATATAAACGAACTCGAGATTTTCTTAACGTATGCAAGATGTTTCCTACTTAAATAATCAAACTGTATTGTTATATTGTACGCAGATAGAGATAGAGGACATAAAATTCTGTTATTCAATGTTTTCTTTTTCTATCAGACAACCGACAATTTGAAGTGAAAAATCAAATATCGCTTTCTTCGTGTTGCCTTGACTTTTGAATAAAGCATTTTTTATATGGATTATGTAACATTTTTCCTTATTTCTACCTATAGAATAAATTTGTACAGTTTGATCGTTAAATCGGAAAGACAACTTGTATATGCGGGTGGATAAAGGTAACACTACGAGTTCTACCGATCGAGTTCTGGACCTTCACGTTTCACGCATAACACCATACTTGCATTGTTGCACGAACAAAGACAATTAGGAGAACATATTGTTTGTTATGAGGCTGCAATTTGTTACCAAGTTGAGTGGTGTGTGTATATGAGTGTCGGCTTCTGATCTTGAAAAAAAAAAAAGCAATGAAAAGAGAATATCTTTTCGAAGAACATTAAATGCTTTTCCTATATATGGACAACCGCACCACACATGCTTATTTGTATTTAAGTTAAGGAGAGAAAGCTTGAAGCCAAAAGCTTTAACCGTCTTGTGTAAGGCCAATACTACAAATATAAATATTCACAATTTCGAAATCATCTTCATTTCCTATACTACATAACATACATATACATATAGATACAATATTGAGAAATAACACATTACTCGTAAGGCCGTTCTCGTTACTCTTTCTTCAACAACGATCTTGTAACGGCGTTATTATTCGTCGTTGGGAACAATAACTGTAACGCAATTATATGCTTTGTAAAAAGAATATGAAAAGTCTTGAAGATTCTTGATGAGGAAAGTTTGTGCACAAACTTTGTAAATCGAGACAATGACTCATTACTTCCTCGAGTATCGATAACAGTAACGAGTTGCGCCTTTTCGAAAGCAAGTAATTAGTTACTTTAAGGATAATTTTCTCCCAAATCTAGATGTATACACTCATATAAGTAATATGGAATGTGGGTCTGCGTGTTTCTAAATGGAAAATATAATTAGTAATTGAGTAACTATGTAAATGCTTTGTATGTATACATGGTTCGAGGTAGCAACACGCTGCGTACATGGCTCGGATTACAGGTTTTCCTTCGTGACATTCTTTGCACGTGGCTAACGTAACCCGTAACCTGCTGTTCACCGGTCAAATTGACCGGTAGGAAACGGAATTGATGAATATCTTGACAAATAACACGACCACACAACTGCGCGTATATCTGTCGACTGACATTCAGAATGTAAGAAAATACACTGACGGATGAATACGCAACTAGAAAATTAACCGCGTTATTTAAATTTCAAATAGTGCAATGGTCAAATTGACCGGAGAACAGCAGTTACGGGTTAATAATAACAGGTATCGGTGGTAATGATATTTTAATTATTTCTCGCGATGCCTATTAGACATAATGTCATAAATGCTTTATGCGTTGCGTAATGAACTTTGCGTATGGATTAAGAATTTTGCCTTATGCACTCTGCAGATTGTTGATGCTCTAAGAGTCGCGTCAATGTGCCGATCGAAAAATCGTAGCTTTCCCGCACGTTACCAGCCGAAGAACCGAGGAACCGAAGATCTGCAAAATACTGGAGAATAATTGTATGTTTTATTATTCAAACATGAACAAAGAATAAACACAATCTCAACTTTCTAGGTATACGTGTATATGTATATATATATATATATTGATAACCGATGTAAAATTGTCCTTTGGGATGCTGGAGTTTTACAGCCGATATAATATACTATAACTAATGTCGGACTTATATTATACTAGACATGTAATATACATTTGTAATATTAATTATATTATATTATATATTAATAGTTTCAATTAGACGTATACACTTATCGATCACACTGAAATCTAAAAAAAGGGATAAGTGTTTTTCAAAGAAAATAAGGGGACGCGTCTAATTCTCGACGGTCATTCTTGTAAGAAACTCTGACGATATACGTATATTATATTAACCAAAATGAAGTCCAAACGATTGTCGATCGTAACAATAACAACTATGAAACATATTATACGTTACTAGCAATTGTTAGAATTGGTATCAGGTCCCTCCCCGAGACAACAGGAGATGCTTTGTTTTATCTTACGGGACTAGACAAAAGGCTTTGAATTTAAGCGTGCTCGTGTACATTAATCTTTGAAAATTTGTAAAAGCTATCACTTCGTAGAAATGAAAGTCTCGCCAATACTGCCTCTTTACACTTTATCGTTCGCTCGCCTACAATGCGCTCTCGCGACGGTGACGACGTTGGCTGCAGAGAGCCACGAGAGTAGGACGGCGATGGATAAAAGCTGACTGTGTGTGTGTATCTCGGTTATAACACAATGAGTCAAAAATGATGATTTGGAACTGACAGCGATTAGTCTCGCGAAGCGCCGATAATAGTTAGAATGTAGATGAAGATGTTGATAACATCTAGATACAGGCTCAACGCGGCGAAGATATATTCCTCCGGAGAGATGGAGTACTTGTGCTTGCCGCCTATCATCATTTGCGTGTCGTAGATCAAGTACAGGGAGAATATTAGCGCACCGAGCGACGCGTAAACCAGTGTCATGATCTTCCCGTGCCAGATCATGGCGATTATGCCGAAGATAAGCAAGACGAGCACAGCGACAAACAGAACGGTGGACAGTCCGGTGAAATCGATCTTCGTCTGAAACGCGAATATTGTCAAGCCCAGACAAATTGCCGCAGTGATCCCGACCGCCAGCATGACCTGCAAAAAGTCGTTGAATGTAAACATATGAAGTCTCTTGCCTTCCATCCCGACCTATGTAACAGTACTGTAACACGAAAATTCACGATCCAGAACTGCAAACGTGCAGTGCCGCCGCCGCCGCCGCCGCGCTCGAATCCGCTCTCGATCATCTTACCGCGTCGGGTTCGTAGCTCGAGGCTGCCGTGGCTAGTAAGAAGGCCTCTGCCACCGTGAACAGGAACAAGAATATAAAGTTCATCGGAGCCTTGCGTCTCACATTGGTACAGCAAGCCATACATATGATCAGGACGATGGTCACAACGAAGCAGACCCAGAACAGTTCTCTATGGCTATGTACCCATCTTTGCGTTGGTGTATGGTAGACGAACAGCGTGATCATACCGAGCGTAATGAGCAGCTGGCACATCAGGATGCTGTACACTTTTCTAAAATGAAAAGGAGGAAGAAGATGAAGAAGATACTGTGTAATCGTGTGTACATGTGCATGTATATGTGCTGGACGCACCGAGGTGCACTGAATCCCGCAAACGCTTGCGACGGTAGTATACACGATGCTCTTACCTGATGAAGCCATTCCTGATGCTCTTGTCGTTGAACTCGAACCCTTTGACCTCATCTTGCAGAGGATCTTCCGCGTAACCGGACCCGTACATTCCTGATTGACCTGTCGGTGCTCCGAATTCCGGACCAACTGGTGGCGGTCCTTGACCGTAGGGTGGAACACCCGGCGGTGGTATGAATCCCGGACCTGAGTGAGGAAAACGACCGAATGAGTGAATGAGATAATTCGCATAGTCGAAGGGCAAGTATCGCTCTCTCTCTCTCTCTCTCTCTCTCTCTCTCTCTCTCTCTCTCTCGCGTATCTCGAGATACGGTGAGCCCAGTACCTGGCGGCACTCCTCCGGAGTAAGGCGGTGGGTATCCTGGGTTGTAGCTCTCCTGTTGCGGGTATCCGGGATTCTGCGGCGGGTATCCGGGATTCTGTGGCGGATAGCCGGGGTTCTGCGGAGGGTAACCTGCACAGTCAGATTTCGGCGACGGGTAAGTGCCGGGGCGTGTTGCAACGCGTACACGTGCGTTGTAAGAGAAACCTCGATCGCAAGCAGTAGCAACTCTGTGAACGTCTGTGCACTAACAGCAACTACGTTTTTCTTTTCTTTTTGTTTCTTTTTCTTCCTTTGCACGGTGCGCGCGTCTCTTATGCTCTTTTGCAAAAATCAACTTTCCACGGCTGCGTGCGGTAACAAAAAGTCGCGGCTTGGCGAGAGGACACGAGAGAAACTGCCGTCATGATGCGTTACGTTCGGGTACGTTACATGAGCGTGTATCGTATGATGAAGTGACTGTGCGTGCGATCTCTCGCCGTGAGCACATCGACTGATATATCTCTAACGCGACTTCTCCGTCTCTATCACGAATATGATACTAACTCTCAATCTAATGATGCTGTTTGTTTGTTCCCGAGGTGTAGATTGGAAAATAAAATCGTCACGATAATGTGCTTCGAGATATTATATGGTATGATAATATAGTATGTCCTCTCAAGCAAGTGACATACGATGCTTACTGCTGGCTGAGCAGGCCGGTAATGGACAGGTGGGAGAGAGAACAAGATGATATATAACAATATAGAAAGTATTATTGATAACAGAAAGTAAAAGATCAGAACCTTGTTGCCCCGGATAGAACCCCGCACCAGGTGTGCTTTGCCAAGTTGTCATCTTTTCGGTTTTGTTTTAGCTGAAAAAAAATCTATCGTTATAACCGGCTCTCACTGCCGGCGCCTTGAATAACGTCCGGTTTGGAACCGCAACGCACGGCGACCTTAAAGAACGCAACAATATACACATCATTGTGAGAAAGGGGAAAAAAAAAAAACATATCACCACTGCAATAAAAACAATAGAAATACAGACTTATGTGGTAGTCTTATTGACAAGTATATAGGGTGTCCCAAAAGTAACGAACCACGCTAATAACTCTCTTCAGTATTGAAGTTTCAAGGAAAATGATCTGAATAGAAGTTGTAGGGATTTAAGTAAGCTGCCTTATAATGACCTTGACCTCTATTTACAAGGTCATTCGGAGGTCAACTTGCGTTTTTTAAATGGGAACCCTTATTTTTTATTACACTGCCTTTTTCTGCTAGTTAATTTGAACAACTTTTGCAAAAAAATGTTTTTAAAACATTCTTTTGTCTAATCTTTTTTTGAGGAATATTTGAGGAAAACTTGATGACTTTTTCAATATTTAACTTACGCGATATCTCGCTAATTATTTGTCGGAAGAAAAAGTGGTACTGGACTTTCTTGCTTTATTTAGTGTATCAAGAATGTATTGTTACAATAATAGCGCCCTGATTTTTGTCAGTTTGATGATTTTGAAATTTCCAAAAGTCAGTAAGTTAACAAAAGTCAGGGCGCTATTATTGTAACAATACATTCTTGAGACTAAATAAAGCGAGAAAGTCTAGTGCCACTTTTTCTTCCGACAAATAATTAGCGAGATATCGCGTAAGTTAAATATTGAAGAAGTTATCAAGTTTTCCTCAAGTATCTCAAAAAATATTAGACAAATAAAAAAATGTTTTAGACAAAAGTTGTTCAAATTAACTAGTAGGAAAAAAAAACAGTGTAATAAAAAATAAGGGTTCCCATTTAAAAAACGCAAGTTGACCTCCGAATGACCTTGAAAATAGAGGTCAAGGTCATCGTGAGGTAGCTCACTTCCTACAACTTTTCAAACTCCTACAACTTTTGTTCAGGTCATTTTCCTTGAAACTTCAACACTGAAGAGTTATTAGGGTGGCCCGTTACTTTTGGGACACCCTGTATATCTTAGGCGTACACGCGTGTTGTTGCCGCCCGAAGAAGACTCGAGTATTTGAAATCTCCCTGTGAAAACCTGGTAATCTGTTAAAACCGTCCGGTCAAGCTCGTCGAGGCGCAATTCCTCCGTTGTGCGGGAAGGATTAATAAGGAGAGAAAGGAGAAGGGAACGAAGAAGAAAAGCAACATAGCTAAAGAGGCTGCAAGGCGCAGAATCGAGAAAGTTCGCGGTTCACGTTTTTGCTCGATGACTCATGGACATCTGAAAAAAGAGAGCGCGCGCCCAGGAGCCCTTGGCGATTTACGCGCCGATACTGACGAAAAAAATACCCGGATATCACCTTATCTGCATTATCTCGGCGGTCCATCTCCGGGGGGAAATGTACCGTTTCTTCGAATCGCGCAGCAATTATCAGATAAATTATCTTAGCATGCGCGAGTTAGTAATATAATGGGCAGAGGTAGTACATCGGCACGCTCGCGTGTCGATTTGCCGTCCACGAGGAGAGGAGGAAAGGAAGAAAACGAGTTCGTGAAACAATCGCTGTCGGTAACGATCGAGACTGGTTCGTCGGTTCGCCGAAAGTTGCATTTCGCAGAACGAGCGACAACTCGGTGTTTACGAGCGATGACGCAAAGCGGAGGCGGACAAGCTAGCGGATTATTCTCCTCGCGAACATCCAACAATGTAACGACGTTAGAGCGAAATCGCACGCGGTCCGGGAATACCCGTGCCTGCCTGGTTTCGCCGCGCGATACTTCTAACGAGTCTTCGCTTCACTCAAGCCCTCGCGTATGTTCTTCTTCCTTCGTGTCTTGACTTCCCCTATGTTATCGCAACACTGTGATATCTCATCGAGATTAACGCACGATGATCGTGACAGAGATACGGCAAGTTTTTCATATGCGTGAGCGGACGCGCGTACACACGTCTGTGAGCGATCCACTTACACGTCTATTCACGTAAACACTCGCGCGCGCACAAGCACGCTCGTTAAAATGTATGCGCGTCGAGTACTGCTTCATCGCGATAAACGAAACTCGGTAACTCGGTAAAAGAACTCGGGAGGTGGGAGGAGAAAAAAATGAGGTGCGAAGATCGTCTCGCAAAGAAAATTTGAAAAGTGGAATTCCGGGAGTCGGGCGAGAGGGGGGGGGACAGCGGGTCCGCGGGGCTTAACACAGCGGCGAAAATCGACTCTTCTCGGGCTCGGGCGAGCGTCGTCGGTCGCAAGGTCGCGCGTTTGCATCGGGTGCCGTGAGGAAAGTCAACGTGTGATTACAAATCGGCGAACGAGCCGCTGTCACGCGAATGTCAGGCGCGCGCTCCGAACGAGGTCGTGGCGACTTCGCCGACGAGCAGCAGGACGGGAGCCTCGCAGCGTCCAGCTGTTCGCGCGATCGCGACGAGACGCCGAGAGCCGATCGCGCGCATCGAACGCGGCTTCGACACGTCAATCCGTCGATGCGTCAGCCCGTTCTTTCTGGAAATAGTCGCAATCGATAATCGCGCTCATGTCGCGCGCGCGGCCCGAGTTATTGCGATGCGGAAGTGTGATTTACCTCGGAACTCGCGGCCCCGTTTCCGAGACGGCGTCCACCGGTCGGTCGACGAGCGAGAGACAGCACGCACGGCTCGAGACGAGACGCCTACTTGTGCTTCGCCGCCTAATTCTACAACGACGCAATCACACGTAACGCACTACACTTACACGCACGTATACACACTCGACTGCGCTGACTAGCGACTATGACCAACTCGCTCGTTTTCGACGACCAAAGTACGCCACCGATTAGCCGAACGGCGTGAAGTGCACCACGATTTTACGGGGAGCGCCTGCGTCCTGCGTGTCCGCCTACATGGCGGTTCGAGTCTCGGCTAAACCGCTGAGTTTACAACTCGAAGACAAGCGAGTCAGTCGAGTTCCGAGTTCTTCCCGAACTATCTCGAACTAATTCACACCCGTATTCATAGTCAGGACCTTATATCCGAGGCTTCCTTATATCCATCTTTAGACGTCGGATTATTTTATAGGCTGCAGACCATCTGAAGATAAACTTAAGGAAGCCTTAAATATAAGGCCTGACTGTGAATACGGGTGTTAGAGGTCTCTGATGGAGTTCCGACGGAGAAATTTCGCGAAATGCTGCTTCTTTTCGTGTGAATTTATTCCGAAAAGGACGGAAGGCGCGAGTACTTTGTGCTACTGTACGCTCTTCGCACATGAATAATATACATTTTGCTGCTTTATGTTATTAGGATCGTGTAATTCTTCGTGCGACGATAAAATTGGTTGGAATTGGTAGTGTTGCGCGTGAAAAATTTCCGTTTTAATTGACGAATCTCCGATTGGCTAATCGTAAACGTACACGCCAACTGAATTCTCATTTTGTCCATGATGAAAAGGTGCACGTTATGCCCAGAGATTTAAAAGTTATTAATCGCAAATAATTGCGACGAGAGATTCTACAGACGGGCAAATTGCTCAATTTCATACGAATTGTGTAATTGGAATTACTGATAACCATTCGATTGGTTGAAGTTTCAGATTTATAGTTATCGTTGCTCCCGCAAAGATATCGCCAGAAGCACCAAATTGTTCGATTTGTAGTTTCATCGCTTGCCACGAGATGCCGTCACAAGTACCAAATCGTCTCAATTGTGAAATTATAGTTAACCATAGTGGCACATGCTTTTGTTCGCTTCCGTGGCGGTTGGATGTGTGTTCTGTAACTACGCATATTTTTTAATCGTAGGCACTGCGTACGCGTTGTCCGTTTTTCTTTTATCTTCATAATCGTTGACTGGCATAGGGGATAGAATGTAACAGCTTTGCCCAGCAGCGATGTCAGATACAATATATTGCGACGCTACAACGCATGCGTGAGATGACGTAGGCTCTATGCCAATGATGGCAATAAAGCGCATCGCAGGGTCCATGAAGGGGCCCGCGCTATCCGATCAGCTGTCTTCCAGGGCGTCCAGTGTAATTTTCCCGTGTTTCTTGCGCGAGTGCCTTATCTTAGATTATATTGTTCAGTGGACACTGGAAATGTCAGTTACATTAAAGGCCATTGCACGTAAAAAAATTTTAGTCGTAACCGTAAGACCGTAAGCAAATTGACCAATCACAATCCAGCATCTCGAAATATACGAATTGTGATTGGTCAATTTGCTTACGGACTTACGGTTACGACTAAAACTTTTGTACGTGCAATGGCCTTAACATTATAATTCCAGTGGATACTAAGTAACAATTACGTTACATTAACACTATAATTTTTCACTCAACTATGTAACTGTTACACAATATTTGTATTAGACTCATATTAGACTATAGATTGAGAATTACTATCGGACCAAATAAAATAACCACGATTTAGATTATCTAATTTACTCGATTGCAATGCTCGATACATAGTATAATACGGACGCTATAATACCTTAAAAAGGATACGATACTGGGGCTTTTTACTCAAGCAGCGAGCTACGTCATCTCACGCATGCGCTGTAGCATACGTAATATATTGCATCTGACATCACTGTTGCCCAGAGCCATTTATGATACCAGAACCAGAATAGTAGGCACATGCGAGCTGTAAACAGTAAACACGTGTGTTCACCGGTATATAGTTAGATCAGAGTGAATAGCGTATTAAATAAGGCCGAGGAGATTATTCGTCAGCCAGTAAAAGAAAAGGAAAAAAATAAGAGAACGTTAGATTCTCGACAAACCGGCCGATGACCGGTTATACACACATGAAAATAACATAACCAACAACGACAGTAGAAAAAGGAAAGAAGGAAGGCAATCATGAGTTCCTATACCATACACGACGTCAAGTTTTACAATCCAGAGCCGAGATCCGTTACGTGCATGTCCCATGAACCAGTCACAAAGAAATTGGCTATTGTGAGGTTAGTACAGTAACTTTTGTTGCAACATCATTCAATGATGCGATAAGCTCATCTCTGTGCGATAAACTCAATCTTGCGTCCGTTTTGCTCTTTTCCGAAGGAACGACAATTCTATAGAAATATGGAACATCACGAGTACACCGTTCGTCGAGTGCACTATAGCTGGTTGTACGGAGAACTCAGTGGAGAGCATACTCTGGATCGGCTCGAGGCTGTTCTCGACCGGTCTGCATGGTGCGGTGGTTGAGTACGACTTAACGACCCTGAGAGCCAAGTACAGCATCATGGTTATAGGAGGTGCAGCCTGGTGCATGGATGTAAATCCTGAGAAAAGCCGCTTGGCTGTCGGTACAGAGGATGGGTATATCAATACCTTTGCTGTACAAGAGGAGAAATTAATTTATGAGAGGATATTCGACAAGCAGAAGGGTAGGATTCTATGCATCAAATGGGATAAAACAGGTGAAATGCTTTATACAGGTTCTACAGACACCGTCAGGGTATGGAGCGCAGTGTCTGGTCATGCGATACACAAAATGACGACTTTCAGGAGTAATAATAAGAAAGAGACCATAATCTGGTGTCTAGTGGTCACCAACGACAATGTCATCGTTACCGGCGACTCTCAGGGTTTCCTGTGCTTCTGGGATCCTCACATGGGGGTGATGATCGAGTCCCATGAAAGTCACGCTGCTGACATATTGGCCATCGCCTTGTCGCACGACGAGAACGTCATGTATTGCGCGGGCGTGGACCCGATCGTGAAGACGTTCGGCAAGCTCAAGCAGAAATACAGCGACAGGTCACAGTGGGTGAAAGGAATCGAGAGGAGGTTGCATATTCACGACGTTCGAGCTCTCGTAGAGAGCAAGGGAAAACTCTATTCAGCTGGAGTGGACGGATACTTGACTGTTTCGAGTTATCCGCCCAAGGTTATAGTAAAGTACCCTCCTCTATTTCAACCACCGTGCGTCGCGATCTGTCCGAAGAGTAGGTGCATCTTGTTGCGATACTTAAACTTCCTTGAACTCTGGAGACTGAACCCAAACACCAAACACGACTCGTTGGAATCGAGCAGTGCGTCCATGTTGGATGCTTTAGACGACACGCCCATCAAGCTGCTACGATTAGAAACAAAGGGCGGCGAGAATATCATCTCTTACGCCATCAACAAGGACTCCAAGACGATTGTATACTCGACGGACACTCACGTGAGGGTTTTCAACTTTGACGTAGTGGAGGGAGACGTACAATTGTCCAGAAACGACACCGACCTGCCCATGAAGCGAATACAGAAGTTGCTGTTCAGCCCGAACGGCAAGCTGCTGGTCACCGTCAACAACGACGGTGACGGCAACACGGTAACGTTATTCAAAGTGGACAAGAAGAGTCTGAGGAAAATCGGTTCGTTCCAGACGACGAATGAGTCGATCTCGAATGTTGGGCTGGTGTGCTTCTCGCCGGACAGCAAGTACCTCGCGCTTGCGGACCTCGAGCAGAGGATCGCCGTTTACTTCATCGGCAAAGTCGTCGATCCCGAGTCGCTGCAGGCACAGACGTTACCCAAGTACGAGTATCCGCCGACGGCGATGGCGGTGCAGAAGAAGACCCTCAATCTAATCGTGGTGTATTCCGATCACACGGTGAGAAAGCAGAAAGAAGGGGAGGGAGTCGCGGCTGGCCGCGATTTAAATTACGCGCTATACGACGCGGGTCGGCGACGAACACGAGCCCGTCTACACTCGCGCTACACAGCGGCGTTAAAATAATAGCCGCGAGCCGAATAAGCCGCGCTCGTAAAGCACGGTGTACACAACCGGATTAATGACTACCCGGACGACGGTAGGGAAAAAAGCGCGCGCCGCGGCTTTATTTTTACGCGACGTTACGCGCGTAATTGCCTCTATAATCCCGTTATTGAGTCGTCCGTCGATGCGGACTCTACGGCGAAGTCTCACGGTTTATTATCTCGATATCGCGGTAATCGCCGAGCTCGCGTTAATAGAGAGCAGATTGATGCATGATCGCGCGCCGGTCGGGGGTTGAAATTCTGAAAAGATTGATTCTTTTCATCGAACGTGGTCAATCAACGGTGCTCGTCCAACGAGACGTGTCTTTACGTCATCACGTCGCTGATCGTACAGCAAAGAAATAAATAAAACGAATTAAATTTCAGATCGTTGAGTATAATATACCGAACGCAAAGTTCACCATCATTTCCGACAACCTGCGGAAAAATCTGAAGAAACAGTGGTTTGCGCGGCAATACCCGATAATCAACATCATGTTTGATCCACACGAAGAAGACATCATCATAATGCAGGACGAGTCGTGTATATATGTTGTCGAAAAGATCAGCGAGCCCGAGCAGAAGAAGCCAAAGCTCGCGATGTGCAAGAAAGGCAAGTTCACGGGGAAGACCAGTTCGCCGGCAAGCTGGCAAACGAATTATGGATTCCGAATAATCAAGAAGTACAAGGTAAAAACCGATCGACCGATCTGACGAAATTTCGTCGACGGCGGTCAACTGACAGCGAACGAGAGAAAGAGGGAGGAGGGAAGAGATATTAACGTGGTTTTGTTGCTTGCAGCATCTCGTCAGCTTAAATTGGCTGAACGACAAGGAATTGGTCATGGTCGAGGTGAACCCAACCTCGTTGACGAAGAACTTACCACCCACGTTGAAGCAGAAGTTCTTCGGCGTGTAAACGTTGTGTACTTGACGATGTGATAATCATTTTAACACGTTCCATGCCGCGCGCATGTGCCACCGCTCTTGTCCACGTTGAACTTTCCGTCATCGGGCCGTTTGATGTTTTCCTCTAAAATGAAACATAATCGTAAAATACTTTTATAATCACAGCTCTGTTCCGCAATTATATTAGTACGACTCTGATTATATCTCTGATATATTATTTAATAAATGATGTGGCACATATTTGACGAGTCAAATTTTACTCGCGACGCAACGTGAGAACGTCGCCGGGGCGTGAACGACACGAAGTTACGTGAAATCAATTCGGCACAGAGCCGAGTTAACGGGTTTTTTAATAAAAATAAAAGATCTCCCAGTGTTCGTTTTATTAGATTCCCTTGCGTAATTTATATAATGATCGCAAAAGATACATATAGACACGTCATCATGTAAAAGTTGCTTTTCTCACGATATCCGACGCTCGAGACGTAGCGTTTATCTCTCGATCTCTTCCCGAAGCATGCAGATACGATCGTTTCGTGTGAAAAGCACGGCACGAATGTCGAAGAGATAAACTCGCGAATCATCGCGAGCGTCGTCAACCGAGGAAGATGAATCTCTGCTGTTGCATCGCGCGGTGCAATTCCGGCTCGTCCGCGGCCGGCTCGATCGTGCACCTGGGGGAGACGTACAGACGGCCGGCGAACTCCAGGTTGTGTTCCGCGCGCGACGAACGGTGGCCGATGGCCGCGGACGACGTTCTGGGGGCGGCCGGCGAGGCTTTCAGGGGAATCGGTGAACGTTCGACCGCGTCTTCCGGCGGGTCACGCTCGAAAGTGCTCGGCGGAAGTCCCGCTTTTCTGCATTCTTCCATCAGCACCTACGGTCAGTGACACGGGACACATTGAAATTCGTCTGCGGTGCGCAGCGCGCGCTCGGCGGTCGACGCGGTTCTTTTTTCTCCCGCCTCTCACCCCGCCCCGTCGCCGCTCTTTCCTCTCTTCCGTTTTAAGCTACCTCGTGGAAAAATTTGCCGCTCAGGTGTTGGTACCTGCGCGACCACGAGCGCTGCGACGCTTTCTCGCGGAGGTTCGTCTCCCTGCTGAAAAAGCGAAGCGTGTGAGAGGAGAATCGGCGTTATCGTCCACGGTTCTTCTCCGTTTACCGAATATTATCGGCGACCACTTCATTCTTCAGCGCGACCCCGCGCGGCCTTCCCACAGCGACCGGTCTCTCGGCCACCTTCTTGCTCTCCTTGTTCTGCTTCTCCTCAGACATACGTCGCGCGCGCGCACGCTTCTTCTTCCCCGCCGATAACCTTCCTCACGGCGACAACGGCGATCAACTCCTCGATAATAATGAATCCCGCTGCCGAAGCGCAGCGTATGCACGCCGTTTGTTCGATACCGTGCGCCGCGCGTTGCTATAGTTATCGCGGTTAATATCGCGAGACCGCGCGTCCTCCGGGACGACAAAAACACGGGGGCGGCGACCTCTCGCGGCTGCGTCCTTTCCTGCCCGAACGGCCGTTCGGTTCGGGCCAGCGAGTCGCGCGC